AGGCGCCAGAATTGCAACTGATAGAATAGGCCTACACTGTAGCACGATATCACTCCTACTCTGCGCCTCTGGATGGCAACCCGTGACGTTCTACTCGGAGCTGTTCACATCCTAGGGATTTATACGTTTCTATGTCAACACTATCAACCCCGCGACATGAATCTGCAGCAGTCAGGTAGTAGGCCTACAACAAGTCAGAGTTCTGTAAGTTGTTTACATTCAGTTTTATTGTAATGTTATGTGCTTTGAGACATGAGGTTATTTAACACCGTCTCTCGTGACGCTTTGCAGAATCTGTTGTGTGCGTTTATGTCGTGTTTGAAGGAGGCGTGGCTTTGAAGCGCGCTCTAAAGGGAGGATGGGATCTCAAAGCTAGCTTGCTATTACCTTTCCCTAACTTTAATTCTAAGTTATACTGACATATTAGTAAAATACAATGAATAGTCTAAGGCTTTTTTATGCGAAAACAAAAAATCCCTAGTGAAGTGTAAGTGGCCACTCTTTTCTCTATTCCTCCCAGTTATTACAGAAAAAAAAGTACCCCCTTCAAAAACATAAATTTCCAATACAAGTTCCTGGTTTTGTGAATTTGTCAGGATTGAATTGTTTAGCAAACACTGATACTGTTGCTGAGCAGACACTTTCGCTCTTGTACAGCTTGACTTAGTTCACTACTATAGCTGAATGAAAGTGGACCAGATTCAAGAATGACTCATGTCAACAAATGTCCATTCAAACATGTGGTCATAAATGAGTAAGACTGTAAGGTCAAGGAAATTATCTTGTGGGTCACTTTTTCCAAACCTACAAACACAACTTTCCAGTGGAATGGACTATTTTAATGCATTAATTCAATCGTGCTATTTATCCAAGCACTTTATCCCCGTCCCCTATAATCTTGCAACCTATCTTTCACAATACCATAAACTCTGAGCTATGAATCCTTTGATTTACCTGCAGCTGCCACTGAATAAAGCCCTACTCAGACTTTTTCTGAAAAAACAGTTACTTAATAATTAATAACAGGCTTAAAACACCATAATATAATAACAGACAGAGTCCAGCATGGAAAATAGGCATGTTTTGCTGCATTTCTCAGAGAGTCTCTGCCAAATCGGTCCCCTTTGAGATGAAACCCATCCATTCCAATATCCGCACCTTCCGTTATAATAAATGGACATTGAAGTCTCCATTCTCCTGCAGCTGGATCACTAATTAAAACGTCTGCCAGAGAGCCACATTGACATCATTAGACGCCTGTCAGTGTGTAAACTTGGGAGGTGTTCAACATTAATCGCCTAACAGACCGACACTAGGACATTGATAAGGATGGTCAGCACTTTTGAACCGTGATAACAGTCTGTTCTAAATCCAGTGATGATGGGCCTCAAATTGAGCAATTCACTAAGGACAGAGAATCATATGATTCTCTCATTTTGCCTCCCTTGCCTTGCTATATATATTAAAAACAATAGTAGGCCTACTAATAAAAAAATAAGTATTTTTAATAATGAATTTACTAATAATTATTTACAATGCCCTAAACACTTGGGAGTTTTATTTCAATTAATTATTTAGTAATTTCATACTAATCTTTTACTATATGCTCACTTCCTTCAATGCCTCTTACAATTGGCAATAAATAAACCCAAAAAAGGAGAACAGAAGAACAACTTAAATTTGGGTCAATATCACATGAATTCTGATGAAAAGCATTATACTTATTTGCTTACACTGTTGTATGGCAAACATATGTTATGTTTCTTTTTTTGGAGGACCAAATATGGATGCTCTGTGTCAAAATACACTGCTTGTTCTAGCCTCAAGCGAAGACGAAATCTCGAAAACACTAAACAACCACATTGAGCTACAATATGCTGCAGTCTCGAGGTCATAAGACAGGATAATAGTGTAGAAGCCCAAAATTCCAATGAGGGTTTTATCGGTTTTTGAGAGCGCTGTTCGTTGCAATTGTTGTTTTTTGATCATCGATTTGGAAGAGCAGACTCGTTTTGTAAAAGCTCAGAGTGAACATCAGTCTTGGATGATGAGAAACCCAACCCTATCTTATTTCCAACTGAATAGCCAATCAGATCACACCAATCACAGTCACCATGGCCTTTGATTGGCTACCGATGACATCATTACTACAGAAAGTAAAACGCATCACCAATTAATGACAGAACCCTGTTCAATCAGCCAATCAGCTTGTTGTTTGGAAGCCCCTGACAACATGCCTTCCAGGCTGACTGTCCTTTCTCTCTCTCATCCTTCAGACAACTCAAAAACACAAAATCTTACACTAACACGAATACAGCTTTTTTAAAAGACCAGATCAGAGACACACACCTGATGACTTTAGAGCTTGACATCCTTCTACCTAATGATTCTGGGATCTTTTTTGTTTAGTTTTTCATATACAAGTCAACATAATTATAATAGCAGCATGATGGTGACCGGTGTCCCCCACACATTACTCACAATGACGTCATATAGTTGGCACTGCATATTCAATCTGACTTGCGAGATAAAGTCAGGTTGAGCGTGGCTGAGCACTACTCACTGATAACTGCAATGCAACATCAGTTGTACCAGTCTGATATTAAAAGGGGTTTACAAGGTATCAGGGTCAACGAGATCGAAAAGGGAAAATATCGGAGTGAGCGATGAGGCGTCTGTGTTGGAGAAAACCATCTGTAGGTCCTCCTAACACAATCAACCTTTCAAGTTCACTCGCAAAGCAAGCCTATGCCCTGACCAAGTTTTTCAAAGAAAATGACGAAAGCAAGGTTTGAACAATATAATCAACAATAGACTATCTACCTATTATTTATTTTCCAACATTACTGTAATTATGGTTTTCATGGCTAGGACATACAAAGGTGTTTTCTGGTCCATATCTAATTCACAAAAATATATGAAGTTTTACTTTCACTAAAATGCTATTTTATTATGCTAATCCATTAAAGGAATAGTTCACCCAAAAATAAAAAAATCTGTCTTCATTTACTCACCCTCATTCTGTTCCAAACCTTTCTTTCTTCTGTGGAACAGACGAGAAGATTTACCAAAGGAGGACCAAACAACGTTGGACCCCATTGGCTTTCATTGTGTGGGGGGAAAAACACTGAGACATTTTTCACAATATCTTGTTTTGTTCCACAGAATAAAGAAAATCATAAAGGTTTGTAATGACATAAGGGTGAGTAAATGACAACAAAGCTAAATCGATTTTGTACCTGCAAGATTGATTTTCAATAAAAATATATTTGTATGTTACACATACAAAAAGAACGCCCTATAGGTTGGGAATGACGTGAATGTGTGTAAATGATTACAGAATTTTCCTTTTTGGGTGAACTACCCCTTTAAGAAGAATTCTAGAAGAATTTGTTGTTTCTATGCAACAAAAATAACGAACCGCTATGGGAGCTGCAGCGCAGTGATATAGTGTACTAAAATGTACAGCTGTGTACCTATACTGTGTATTTTACCATGGCTAGAAATTCAAATAACTTAACAGAAGCCATACCATGAGAGATTATTACTTCACTATTTAACACGTTTAGAATCCACAGGCAGTTTACATGGTAAATCAGCAGCTCTCCCACTCCATCTACTGGTGACTCATTTCAACTGATGAGGTGCCAGATACCACAAATCCTTCCTCCATGCAAGACTGCATTCCTCTTTTTTATACACATTATCTGTCTTCAGTTCAAGGATGTGACGAATACAATACAAATGGTAAATGCCCAGCTTCAATTAATGTAATCTAATAAAGTGAGAAATTTTAGCTTTTTTTTTAAAAAACTAATTAAATAAGAATGCTCAATTTATTAGTACCATATTGAGTATTAATAGATTACGCTTTTTTTAATGTTTAGTAGAGTATACATTTTTTAAATCTGTTATCAGCCAATAAAAATATAATAGATAAAAATGTAACTATCCTTATTGGTTATCTTTATATGCTCAGATTTTTTATATTTTGCAGCTCAATGAAAAACAAAACAATGACTATGTGGCTTCTTTGGAATGATTACTTACTTAAAAAAATTACATATGAAAGTGTTAATGATTAGAGCTTTTTATAGCTAACTCTTAGGACTATTTGGAAATTAACTTTATATTCTTGCATACTGTATGTAAATGTGATTTCAGAAGATAAATCCTTTTTCATGTGCTGTAAAACCCTTCACATAACATGTCTTTAAAAAAGATTGTTATTGGTATACACAGTCAATCCATAAACAGAGACAACACAGAAGGCTTTCTCTGGGACATAAGTGAATTATTTCAATTTGGCCATATCTATACACTCCAAAATGAATAACATACTAACAACTGATTTAGTATGAGGCTATTTAAAGTTGAAATAATCAACTCAGCAGCTCAGGATAGTGCAGAATAGAGCTGAAAAAGGCATGCAGTGAAAATTACAGTATGCAAAACAGCTCAGCTATACAAATAAAATGTTTTTCCGGCATTTTCAAGCTTTTAAAGGCCATAAAATAGAGATAAGTAATTAGGAACAAAACATTCATCTGAAATACAAATGCAGCGAGTAAATTAGGATCTATAACCAAACTCTATTGCATTTGGAGAAATAAGTTAATTCCTGCTCAATTTCCATTAGTCAAAGAATATTCTAAGAAAATATTCCAATCAATATTCCACATACATTAACAAAGAGAGAGAGAGAGAGAGAGAGAGAGAGAGAGAGAGAGAGAGACAGAGAAATATATGCATGAAATGCATGTACCAGAGGAAGTTCAAGTATTACGTGGCAGCACATTTATAAATTATCTTATTTTGGCACAAGAAAAAACAGTGATGATTAAAAATACTTCTGAGAAAGCAATTCATGTCCAGAGGAGATGGGGGAGAAATACTGGAAATACCATGTTCAGCTCTTAAAGTGTCAGTTCTTCCAGAGGCCAATAGCTTTAGTTCAGTTCAGTATGTTTTACTGCAGCTGGTCTGTTCTCCTTTGTCTATGAGCTTGTTTTTGCATTACAAAGTCGGGTTGATAATGACTTCAATGACAAAGTCATCTAAGCCTGTTTCTCTTTACCACAATGGTGCCAGCCACAATGTCATACACAGTCCTGTTGTGCTGAAAGAAAAGGAGTGTGATGAATGCCGGAAAAAAGAAAGCGATGGAGAAGTTCTTGTTTAACGCTCTCACCGTAGACCTACAAGAAAATCATAAAACAATAAGTTTCAATAAATTTTTTGGAAAAAGGTCTCTTTTTTTTTTTTTTTAAATGACAAAGAGTAACGTTAACAGCAGCACTGACGCAGAAAGCGTGACGTTTGTCGCTGGTACCACAAGAACTCGGTTTGGCTGAACCAGAACGGAGCTGTCACATGTGACCACTCGTAAGCCAATGAGAAACTTCCCTGGTGTCGCCCCACCAGCTCCCCAAATACATATGATCTGAAAACAATCAAAAACAGTTATGCAGGTCTTCATGAATTTTTTCATTCAGCAGATTAACTCAATTGTTTGAACTAACCTCATAAAAGCAAACTAATATCCTATACACTAGAGCCACAAGCATCATCTTCTGCAATTCCTCCATTGACGTGTCCTCATCAATCTCCTCTACTATGAAGTGCATGGCAAACTTTGAGATGTCCCTAAAATTAGATTTTAAATGGCCAAAGAGTGAATGATTTGGTTTAATGGAAAACAGCATGAGTGATATGTAAAAATATAAATAAAAGATTCCAGACTCACTTCATTCCACTCAAGTGCACAATACTAAGGATAATTGTGGCTTTAATGAAGAAAAGAATGAAGAAATCCACCATTTCCGCCAAGAACCTTTGCAGAGGAGAGGGGATATAATATTCCCTACCTGGACAAAAAAATAATACAAACATGAACTGCTTTTGAAAACTGAATCATTCTAATTACGAGGAACAATTGTATGCCCCAATTTTATGTCTTAATATATTGGATATAACATTAAACTCACTTTTTTTCTAAAAGATGTAAACAATATTAGTTTACTTTAATAACAATTAAGTGAACATAGGGGTGATTTCACTACTTTAATATGAGCATAAATTTCCACTTTTGCCATCCATGCACAAACTTAACATAAAACTGGCAATTATAAGGAAGAAATGGTGTTTCTTCATCTCCCCTTTCTCCAATAACAATGTCTCAAACATTTTCATATGAATTTTGATGTAATTGGTAATCATTTCATAGGTTTTGTTTCACTATAAAACATTATATCCTGTTAGATAAAATTACAGAAATAGGTATTTAAAAAAAAAAAAAGATGGGACCTTCAACACATTCATGTAAATGTCAATGCATCACTGAACAAATTTCAGCGAACTATCTATCCAATTAGACACCCTGTTAATGTCAGTTTTTACATAATGAAACCATATTTTGGCTTTAAGCACCTGAGTTTGAGAAAATCATATTTCTAAGAGTCTGGAATACCATGTTAAAGAAATATTCTTTAATTTTAACGTAGACACTCAATCACATGCATAAACTAAACACAGCCCAAGAAGGCTCGTTTACATCTATACACAAAGTACTGAGCTGTCATATCCAAGCCCAGCGATGAATATAAAATTGCAGCTGGCAGTTTTAACAACAAAGAAAGGTAATAAAGGATGTATTAATTATTAAATATAATTACCAGGCTGTTGAGCATTTCCATTGGGTTGCTGTGGTTGTTGTTGAGGCGGCAGCTGCGCAGGCGCTGTGGCAGGAGCTCGAGAACTCTGTCCGCTCGCGTCAGCAGCAGCACCCGCCGCGTTCGCACCTGCAGCAGGAAAACCAAACGGGCTGCTAAACCAATTCCGAAGGTCTCCATTAGACAAATCTGCACCCCATATCGTCGCTCCTGGCGTTTCATTTGTTCCTTGTGTTGGGAAACACGGTGGGAAGGAAAACGCAGACATGGCTATCCAGCTCTGCCAGTTCATATAGCTGTAGTAGTACTGCCACATCCACTCTTGTAATTTTTCGCAGTACTCTGTGGTGGTAACAGCGGTGGAGGTGTCTTGTTTGCCCTGGGAACAGGGCTTGTGAATATTTGTTTTCATGTTTTCGCCGTCCCTAGTTCTACTGTTTTTTGCCAACGATTTCTCCTTATCACCAGCGTTTTCGTCTAACTCCGCCATGACACTTTTGTTATGTGACGATTTAATCAACTTCCGGCAATATTTCGTAGTGCATAATAAAAGTAATAGAATAGAAGACATGAGCAAAAGCGCTACCTGTGGTATGCAGTTGATGGACAGTAATTCATATGGTGCAAAAGACACTCGTATTCATGTACAGAGAAACGTTTACTGTTTTTGCAGTTTTTGCTATTTACACTTAATAAGAATTAATTAATTGATAAATATATAATTGGGCAGAGGGGGGTAAGATGTGCCATCCCCCTTAAAATAGCATTTGTTCTAGCCTTTTTAGTGTTCTTAAATGATTAAAACCATATCAAATGGATAACAGTAGACACTTTAATGAACTTAACTTAAAGTACATGACAGTGAACATCTATTACAACATATTAGACACGATGGAATCATGTTTATAAAAAATGGGGGTAAGAATATCTCTCAAAACCCATACCATGTAGGCTACATCACATTGCCCTTCTTTTACTTTTAAAATAACTCAGTCACAGCTAATAGTTATTTTACTTAATTCAATAGCTATTCTATTATTAAACTGTTAGCTATTTTACTGATTTAAATTTAATATTTAAATTATATTATATTATTAAGAATTAGTTAATTTATAAATATACAATTGGGGATACCGGGGTAAGATGTGCCACTCCCTTAAAATAGCATTTGTTCTAGGATTTTTAGTGTTCTCAAATTATTAAAAATCATATCAAATGGATAAGAGAAACCACTTTAATGAATTTAACTTAAAGTACAGTGACATGACAGCGAACATTTATTACAACATGTTACAGACACAATGGAGTCAAGTTTATAAAAAATGGGGGTAAGAATATGTCTCAAAAATGTTTGCCCTTCATTTACTTGTAAAATAACTCACAACTATGCATTAGCTATTTTACTTAATTCAATAGCTATTTTATTATTAAACTGCTATTTTACCGATTTACTGTTTTAAATTTGGTACAGAGACACAATGGAGTCATGTTAAAAAAAGAAAAAGAAAAAAAGAGGGTAATATTGTGTCTCAAAACCCAGAGCATATGTGAGACAGGTGTCGAGTGGGACAGAAATCATGATGATCATAAACCACATCAACGACAAAGTCCAATTAATTGAAGCAATAATAAGAAAATTGTGATAATATCAAGGTACAAGTTCAGAGCAGCAAAGATGTACTCTTCTGGATTGATGCTGTATTTGTGCTTTCCACCCAGTATGAGCTGTGTGTCCATCACCAGGTACTAGATAATGAAAGGGAGAGACAGTAAGAAAATGACAGCTGTAAAGTGGTATTATTAAGACAATAACAGATTGTTGGCAGAACATAATATTAATACTGTCCCAGCTTCATTGCACACACTATGCGTCCAGATATGACTCATGACGTCCCCCATAAGGATAATTTATCTTTACACACAAAGCTGCACCGTATAAAGCAATAAAGAAGTGTATTTACCACAGAGAAGACCAAAGTTCCCAACGATGCATAAAGGATGTACAAATACTGTGGAATATGAAAGTTTGCATGAATGAATAAACAAGTAAACATTTTTTTATAAGAGCAGGAATTTAAGGATTTACCTGCGATCTCAGAATTGCACAAAGCAATGCAAATGAAAACAGCGTCCAGCTGATTGCCCATATGCTTCCTGAAGCAGCTGTGAAATCCCACTAAAAACAAGCAAAGACAGGTTTAAATACTTGATAACTTAACAAATCGTTAATTTTAATTATGAAACTTAGTAATACAGTACATATAGTCTAATGTCACTGCAGTTTTGAAATAAATGTACGTACTTTAGACTGCAATGAAAACAAACTCATTGCAAGAGACACCAAAGCAGTTGCACCCACTGCCCAGAGCACTGCCTCGGCCGAATAATACCTGAAAAGATATGTCGGTTTCTTACTATAACACTGGCTGTGTAACTAAATTGTTCAATTGTTGAAGTTCAATTTCTTGGAGTAATTGAAGTGCATTTAAATCAGTTTCAAAGATGCTTTTCACTCACACTACAACTGATCCAAGGAGAAGGCCCTCTGCAATTGTCTGTGTGAGAAAACAGCACTCAGCATTTACAAAATGATTCCATTTAATGCTCACCACAAATAAATACTACAGTGGTTCTGTGATTTACTTACAAAGAGCCCTAGGAAGATGAAGTTTAAAGGAACTTTCCGACGGATGTCACCACAACAGATGAGCACAATGATTAAAGCAAATGTTACACCCCTTGTGAAATTTAACCAAACAAAAGAAGTCAGTGTAACATATATTCATTTAAACACAATATATGCATATTATTTAGGACATGCAGAACACACAAAAGAGAAGTGCTCACATCATAGTGTAGGTAAACCAGTATGTGCCTCTTACCCAGTCACTGAGTGTCTCCCTATAGGAAAAAGGCACGAGTGTATTAATAATATACACACACTACAGATCAAAAAGTTTTGGGCCATACAATTTTTATTATATTTTAAAATGCAAGTCTAAGATGCTCAAGCCTATGATCTCATTATCTGTTCTTTGAACTGAAATGAATTGAAGTAGATGTGGCAACATAAATACCAGTCTACTCACCAATAAAGAAAAGCACAGATGATTCCAACAGTTATTAATAGTTGAACCATAAGTGTCAAGTACACTTTTCTTATGAAACCTATGAAGCACATTTGTAGACATGACACAAAGAAAATCACAAAAAACACAATTCTAATTTAGCACATCAAGAAACATTGAGCGTATTATGTTTTATGTAACATAACCAAGAGACAGAAGTAATTTCAAGAGAGCACAGCTGACCTCTTCTTATGGCTGCATCTGAAAAGCAGTTCTCGTCCTCAAAGCCCAGGGTGTACTCTGGGGGAGCGCTGTCTGGAATCCCCATATTGACTTGTTCAACAACGGGGGGCACCATGCCAGCGGTGGGCTGCCCAGCATTGTACTGCGTTGTATTAGGATATTGCGGAGGGTAATAGGGGTTGTATGGAGGGGGAGACTGCTCTGTGTTCATATTGTGCATGTCTTTCAACAAACCTATAGAGACACATCATTTAGAAAATCGAGAGTAAATATTACAAACTCTGAAACTGATGCTTTTATGATAGATGTAATCCACACAGACAAAGAGGCCTAAATGGCAGCATTTTTATCTAATGACATGTGACTAAGATTTAAACATTTAGGGTGCCAAATTCTCTGTATGTAAAATTGGTACAATTTCCATCTAATACACAAATGTGGCATTATGATATTGTTAATTTTTTTTTTGTTACATTAAAACTGCCACTTACCTTTTAGTCTGGCACCACTCTGCTTCCTGTTGTGAGTTGTGCAGGGCAAAGTCTGTTCTCGATCAGTTTGTCTCCTGGGGGACGGACTTTGCCTAGCCCATCAAATCAATACATACACATTCATGAGAGCCAAGTTCATGTGTGTGTGTGTGTGTTATTTTTTGTTTTAAAATTCAACAAAGAATGAAAGATATTTCACAATGAAATGTACAATTTACCTCTACAGAGTGATTTTTGTTTTTAACAACAATTGTCTAAAAATTTATAAATTAAAATTATGCTTTGTTTTAGAAGACAACCTCTTTGTGATGTAAATTAAGGGATATTCACCCCAAAATGATTTTTTAAATTATTTACTCGCCACCATGTTCTCCAATTCAATAAAAGTAAGCAAGCTCCAAAAATGAAAAAGGCACTATAAAGCATCATAAATGGACATATTCCTCACACAAAGCAATTGTATAAATCTTTTATCACTTGAAATATAGTGCATAAGTAGTATGCACTTTTAATTAGCGTACGTATTGCGTTGTGTTGTGTTTTAGGGTTAATGGGAATTTCTCTAAAAGTCCTGGATAATGTCCATGGCAGAAAATTACCAGTAGCTATACATTTTCCGTTTTTATCTTTTACAGTGTAACCACAATCCATTAAACATTACATTGCATATCCTGTAGATGGCGTTAAATATACTGACAACAACTAAATGTGCAGGTGTGCTACCTAAATCATGAATAAAACATGTATCCATAAGTTAAAATGAACGGGAAAAAACAAAGATCAAGAAAATGGTCATTAATAATTCATTAGCTGCTTATTTGTATGTAAATATATATACCCAAACACCATGGCGAATCGGTCCTGATTAATGAATAATTCATAAGCTTCTGCAGCAGGATTCATACCCACTGCTGCATGCGCAGGTTTCAAAAGCCAGGACACTGGAGCTTTTCTCCCAAGAAAGAAGTCGTCTGTTAACGTTACTCTTTTCCTGGCTTTTGCGTGTATTTTAGTGTTTTCGGTTTTGTTCGTTGTATGACGAGCTGTCACAAACTTGGGTGAGAAAACGTCTGCTGCTAGGTAGGTTTCCATAGCAACGTCGATATTCTTCCACGAGTTTCTTCATGTGTCTCGTTTTAGAAGTTGTCCTGTTTGTTTTGATGCACAACCATAGCAAAGCTACAGGCAAAAAAAAAAAAAAAAAAACGTGGGAGGGGATGCGAAGAGGGAGGGCGGGAGAGAGGGGGCAGAGGCGAGGATGGGAGGAGAGAGAAGAGAACGAGAGAGAAAACCGTTCAGCCACTGGCCTTCGCCAGAGTGCTTAATATTCAATGACCTGTGATCCAAACTCACGCAGGGGACGTCAAAACAACAGTGGTTTAATCATCTCAAAGAAGGAAGCACGGGGCGAAGTGAACTGCTGCTCTTGCACTCGAAGCCAGCGCTTGCCATTGGCGATTTTCAAACTTTTTGCTTTTAAGAATTCATTCCCAAAGTCGGGATGGAACGGCGTCTTGTATCGTATGCAAATACGTCTGCTGACGTAGTTGATCATGTGGGTTTTGGCGTAGATCCCCCTGTGATCGCCAATTTTTTTCGGCTGTTGTCTTTAGGATTCGGCAGAATCATTACAATCGTACGCTTCTATTGGCCGTACACGTGGAAAAGTACGCAATTTTGGACCCGAGCTGTCATTAACCTCACATCCCAGCGTTTCCCGTTGGTAATAGGTAGGTAAGAATGGCTGAATTATTTGTGTCGGTTGGAAAAAATAGCAAACAAACCTTAAAGTTGCGTGCGCGTTTGAATACACACAATAAGTGCTAGTTGACAGAAACATGCTGTAAAGCGCTTCTGATGTCAGTTGTTTATTTCAGCTGAACTTTGTTTACTCAAGGTATATCGTAGAAAGTGAGCACCAGAATAACCGCATCGACCTGACCCGATAACCTCAGTTTAAACGTTTCCAGCGCTGTGATTTGGTGTGGCTTGCGGAAAGTTTCATAGAATGGTTAAAGTTAAGCGGTAATGGGCGCGAGAACATGTCTACTTCTCTGCTGTCGAAATAAGCAGCAAAATATGGCTACCAATGTCGACATGGCGTTACGTCGGTCCAAGTGATTTTTTTTATTGGAGTCTGTTCTGCCTCAATAAAACCCTATTTTCCATTGAAAGCCACGATCGGGATGCTATTTCGAACTGAGAATGTTTAATTCATGCACTTGTATGAAGTGAGCATGGCACGCAACTACTTTGATTTCGGCTTGGTGTCGTATGATGTAGGCAGTGGTGACGCCTTCCACGACCATACTGCATGGCACACGCATCAGACGCGAGCCACATTGCAGCACTGTGTGTTCACATCTGTGATAGTTCCCAAAATTGTCGCATCCACTACAAGAGGGCCATAGCACCCTATATAGAGCAAACGTGCATTTCTGAAAGCTGAATACACTAATAAAAAAGTGCCGATCTGAGTTGTTTAAAATTCTTAATATAGCATGCAATTGATGTCGTAGTCTAAACCATCTCGGCGAATATTGTGATTCAAGTGTGTAAAACTAGCGGCCTACGCGTGATATTTGCTTCAGTGTTCAGTCAGATGGAATTCCAGATTATGGACAGTGACCGATTTCCCATCTGTCAGTCATCCCGGGCGGTTTACTCATGACCAGCAGGTCTTGCCTACTTTTCCAGGTAGTCTGATGTAGCTTGAGAATCACTTTTAGAATATTTATAAGGTTTAATGGGTGATTGGAAAAATAACTAGCTGTTTTAGCAGAGGGGTTGCTTGAGTTTGAATAAAGTCAAATCGAAGAGAGAAGGGAATCTGCATCTTTAGATCTAGCAGCAACATTTGTGGGGCCCAAACATCATATGCAAATAGTTTTTCTAAGCTACTCATATTTCTCCTTCCATTGAATCCCATTACTCTGTGTAAAATACACTGCTTGTGTTTTTACCACATGCCTCTATCATATCATGGACAGTATAATATATTTTTATTTAGTTTAGTCCATAATGTCAAATGAGAGAGAACCACTTTGGTTGCTCTGGTTTATTGACTAGTCCTTAATAACTTACTTGATGATCAATTAGTACCATGTTTCACTATGTTGTTTTTTAATCCGAGTAGATATTTGTCTTAACTTGGCTTAATTGGCTTAGTAGAACTGAACAGAATATTTGTAATATGCACACTGTGGAGAAACGGCTATTCTTATGTGTTCGTTGGAAGGGCATTCTGATACATTTTCATTATCACAAGTTTATTCTGCGTTGATGCCATTTTGAAATAACTAAACATTCTCACTCTGCCTTTTCAAAAATAGATTTGTGTTCACCTTGTGGGCCATAGTATGGAAACATCTCCCATTACAAAGTTTTATTCATGGAACAAGACTAAGACAACTTTTGCAAAGTAGTGACACGTATCATCAAAAGTACAACTCTGCTTGAGTTGCTCCGGTGCAAAATGCAGTTTGTGCCAGGTGACTGGCTGGATTCAAAATGGCTGCCCGCGTTCGTGAGGAGCTGACGTCTTTGAGGAGGTGGTTGCTGCTGCCTCTGCCTCGTAGCTCGTGCTGTCGGTGACTAAGCCGACAGTCGCTGATGTCACAGCCGTGGGCTGGGCTCCTTTGAAAGCTGTGTGTTCTCTGTCGGTGCTGGTGGTGACTCCACTGAAAGCAGAGCCTCTTTGTGAGGGAGTCTGGCCTCAAATTGGAGCCAGGTTATTTATTAGTCATCACTACTAAAGCTATTAATTTCCTTCTGCATTCATGTCCTGGAAGAGAGAGTCAAAACTGATGTGTGCTACCAGCTGAAGTTGCAGTTTAAGGCGGCATATACACTGCTCTGTTTTCTTATTAGAAATGCTGCATACATGAATACAACAAATCATGATTCATCACTATGCATGATCATATTCATGTCATATCTTGCGATCATGAATTGAAAAGATTATAATGTCCGCAACACTGCTACTTACTCCCATATTTTAATAAAAAAGGCAACGTTTCGACCCTACTGGGTCTTCTTCAGGCAATTAGCAAAACACATTTGATACAGAGTTATATAGGCCTTACAATCTGACCCACCCCGTGATTTCAATTAGCTTGATTGGGTCTAAACAAGCCTAATAACCTCACTCATTAATTAATTAAGAGAACACTTGCATGGATAAAACAATCAACATACACAAGAATCAATTCCATATGCACATAACTTCCTACAATGTAGTCAGAAACATGCAATTAACTACCAAGAAACAGTGCATACTCACATATACATGATGTCATATATATATAAATCCACAACCAAATACATAGGCTACATAAATACACATTATATTATGACATATACATGACACAGAGCCATTCATTATAAGAATGGCTTTATGTCAAAATCTTCATTAAGACCATAAGGAGACATTGTGTTCAAATAGTAAATCCAAAAAGTTTCCCGTTGGAGAAGCCTTTTACCATGATCTCCTCCTCTAAACGGTTTATTGACCCGCTCCACCCCGATGTATCTAAGGGCGCTGACATTGTGGCCAGCTGATTTAAAATGAGCGGCGACAGGACTACGTTCATCTCCTTTTCTGATGGTACTTCTGTGCTCACTGATTCTGGTCCGTAGCGCTCTCGTTGTTTTACCAACATATGATAAACCACATGGGCAACTGATTAAATAAATAACATGTGTGGTGCTACATGTAATAGTACCGCGAATAGATAATGTCTTACCAGTGTGTGGATGATTAAAATGTTTGCATTTATGCGTATACGAGCACTGGGCACAACTGCCACATCTATAATTACCATCTGGCATACTAAGAAAAGGCGTTGTAACTTGAGGACGTATATCATTCTTAACTAGATGGTCCTTTAAGTTAGAAGCACGCTTATAAATAAGCTTGGGTTTTTCTGGGAAGACTCTGGTTAGTTTAGGGTCCGACTCAATAATGTGCCAGTATTTATAAACAGATCTTCTAAATTCTGACACAAGTGGAGAATATTTTACACAACATAAAGGAGACTTATTTGGAATTTTTTTGCGTATAGATCGAAGGCACTCGTCTTGCGTTATCTGATCAAAACGTTCTTTGGCCGAATCGACCCAATCTTGTTTATACCCTCTATTGAGGAATCTTTTTGTCAAGTCCGCAGCCTGCTTTAAGTAAGATGTATTATCACTGCATATTCTGCGTACACGATTAAACTGACTGATTGGGAGACTTTTGACCAACGGCCTGGGATGAAAACTATCCCCATGCAATATAGTGTTACGATCAGTAGGCTTACGAAAAAGATCAGTTTTTAAGATCGTACCATCTTTATATACCTGAATATCCAGGAAACTGATGCAATGTTTATCATATTCCAAAGTAAATTTCAAATGTTCATTACAAGAGTTCAGATACTCATGAAAGCCATTAAGTTCATCTACTGTGCAGTCAATAATCAGAAAAATATCGTCAATAAATCTCTTATAAAATAAGATCTTAGAATAAAATGGATTTCTCCGATGTAGCACAAATTGATTCTCAAAAAAACCCATATACAAACAAGCATAATTAGGGGCCATTTTGCTTCCCATGGCAGTACCTTTCTTTTGTATAAAAAACTCATCTTGAAAGCGAAAAAAGTCGAACAACAAATTTTTTTAGTTCTTTTTTAATACTTGTTTTAATCATAAACAAGTATGATCGCAAGAAAAAATCTTGCGATCATACTTGTTTATGATTACATATTCGAGCATGTTGAGTGGCAGTGAAAGCAGCTGGGCTTCAATGCAGATGTGCCTCAGCATAGCAGATTCTTACTTGAACTAAAGAAAATAAAACAATCAGTTTTAGAAGGTTGTTTTCTTGACGGGAGAAGAGTTCAACTTTTTGCAGTCGCTCACTGTTGAGCAGCCTCTCTGTTGCCAATATTCTGCCCTACTTTTACAGTCGTGACCCAGCTTTTTGGAGGTGTAATGGAGAGACTGCATTTAACTGTACTGACCATAATATTGAGGAGTAGAATGATAAATATTTCTAACAAATGACACAGAAGAGTGATAAAGGTTATTTCTTTACATGTGCTAGCTTCGATTGATTCAAGCAGCTGCATTATAAAGTCTTGAACTACATTCACCATGTGTCTGAGCTGTTGTATAATTTTTAGTTTGGCTAAAGTGTTATAAAAACTGTGAAAGATGGTGTTGCTCCATCAGGGACATGACAATGTTTAGTTTATGTCCATGTTTGTAAACTGTCTTATCAATCCACTGACCTGTAACTTACAGTAAGGAGAAAATAAAATTAGGGTCTGCAGTCAACAATATCTGTCATGTGGAGTGTCACTCAGGAAAGATTATTATTTTTGAACCCTCTGAGGCCTTTTTAAAAAAAATGATGACATTTAGATGAACTTCTAAGCTCTAGATAAACTGTTTTTTGTTGTTGTTTTTTTTACAGGTGAGAAGAAGCTGGGTAAAAAAAAGGTGGCAGAGGAGGAAAACTTGCCACATAGGACCTTACAGATATTGTGCTCTAAAAGGCAAGACCATCATTGACAGGTGGGTTGCTAATTTAAAAAGATTTGTGATGATACAGTGATAGAGTCCAAACTGAGCATTACAGTGATGTTTGTACTGCAGTGATAAACCATGCTTTGAATAATTCAGTCAAACTATGTAATTAAATAAGCTTTCATCCTTTACAGGATTTCAGACTTTGAGATAGACAGATAATAGATTAGGATGTGCTTGTTCCAATGAAAAGACAAATGCTAGTCAGTGAAGATGGGCCATTTTAATGCAAAATTATAACATCAAAGCTGAAGAATCAATTTACCCACTCCTCATGTCTCGCTTATCTTTCAGTTCTCTGCTTGTAATATGTTTTTCCCCCACATAAAAATAAAGAAAACAAGGACAAATAATCAATAGAGCAAAGATACAAATAAAATAAACTGTGCTTTTCAGGTTGGTCTTACATAGTTTTCAGGTGCAGAAATTGAATAAAGTAATCAAATGTAATTCAACATTGCATATAATCCTTACTAAAGAAATGAATTAAAAATGAATCATTATTAAAGTTTCAAAAGCTGTTTAAAGTGATGTCCTTGTCTTTTGTTGTTTGATTAACATTAAAAACACAGACGGCATACACAAACTCATGCACAAAGAACTCAGTGATTTGGTTAGATGCAAATGACCTAGGGATATTAAAATTATGACTGATACAGATAAACGATAATAATTTGTTATGTCTATAATAATTTTTTATAAGCAATAAATTCCTTGTTTTGTCTAAACAAATTAAAAATACTATAAAATAAAAATCAATCAATTAAAATCCTACAAGTGAATTTAGGCATTATTCCATTAATTATAATTAAACACCATTATAATTTGTGTTTTGATAATTTCTAGATTAACAGTGTTAAATGAATAAATTATTAATATTTTTTAAGTTTAACTTTAATTGAGCATTTGAAGATGGCCAATATAATCTAAACATAAAAATAGGGGAAAATGATTGTGTATAAATAAATATTTAATATCGACCTATACAGAGCAATTAAAATAATCTCTAATAACAATCGTTAATAACTGATATGGTAGCAATATATTGTGCATTCCTAAAAAGAGCTCATGTCAGCTGTGGCATTCATTGCATGACAAGACAATTGTGATTTATTTTCTCGTTCACATCAGCATGTTGTAATGCATTAGATCAAACGGGGAAAGCTATAAACAAAAAGAGACCCGAGTTCATTCACAGTCAGTTTTCTACCTCCCAGTTTTCTTCTCATCCCTAAAATGGTTGTGTTGGTGTCATTGTGGAGTCATGCAGAGCTTTAGATCTTAGTGTGATCTGTTATTCAGCCCTCTTGTGTGTTGTGACTCAAACTCACAGATGGCTGACAGCAGTGATCAGTGTCCAGTGGTACGAGTCTGATAAACCAGTTGTCGACCATATCAGGCATAGAATCTGCCAAAATGTCTTTTTTGGTGTTTTATAAGGAGTATTTCAGACAAAGCAGAGAAGACAAATGTTGCCATTCATTTCAGAACTCAACTGGCAGCAGTTAATGTTGTATATATGTTATCAAGTCATCAGATCAATAGTGGCTCTTTAGAATTATTAAAACCTGTTTAATGTTGCTCAAGAAAACATTTGCCAGTGAATGTAGTGTAGATACACAGTCATGTTAACCAGCCGGTGTTACCGGATTAGCGTTTTATTTAACAAAGTATTTCATCTGAAGCTCATAGACTCAGTGCTCACACATGACCCTGATCTCTTGATCCTCAGTGTGACCCTTTCCATGAGTATTTCATAACTCTCTGGGGCAGCAGCCATATAAGTTAGTGGTCGGCTACAGAGATTTAGTTTCTTTTGAAGACACTGTATGCTGCTGATGAGTCAGGCCTTTACAGCAGAAATATGCCCTTGGTCTCTGATTACTTATGGCGCTTTTCCACTACACAGTACCAGCTCGACTCGACTCGACTCGGCTCGCCTTTGTTTGGTTTTCCACTGTGTAAAAGTTGTACCTGTACCTGCTTTCGGGTACTTTTTTTTGTATCACCTCCGGTGAGGTTCTGAGCGAGCTGAGGCTATACTAAAATGTGTCGTGAAAACAATGCCGACTGCTGATTGGTCAGAGAGAATCGTCACTATTCACTGCGTCATCATTGCACGCGCCAGATGGAGTATCCAGAACATAGACAGTAAAAGAAATGGACACAGCGACCCCATTGATTTCAACGGAGAAAATTGAAGCCCGTTAAAAGCTGATAGCCAGGCGTACTGCGCAGGCTGAAACTGAGTCTGTCACGTGAGCAACCTGTATGTCTTCTAGTAGCTGTGCCGAGTGAAATCTGAATAATTCCCTTCCGAATCTCACAGAGACGGAGAGAGTGAGTATTAGCTGTCCATGAGCTAGCAGCAGGATCAACTTTATGACTCCCTATGGGCTTCTCCCTCGACTTTATGCCTCCACGTCCCCCCGATTGCGCGCAAACTTCTCCTCCTGTCTATACGGTAATTTCTCTACTGTGCGACGGAGAGTCAATTCGTTATGATGCAATCGTTCGCCTATTTTTACAAAAACTGCTTCTACGGGGCCATAACGTAAGATACAAGGTAATGGAGCCTTTTATACATTGTCGTGTTTCTTTAGAAATAAATAATGGACAAATGGAGTCTTTGGACGCCTCAGATGTAAAGTTATTCGCTGTCAAAGTGACGCCAAAATGAATGGGAGTCAATGGAATGCTAACAGCAGGTGATGGTCTGCTACAATGGCGGCTCCTGCGAGGCTTCAACTTCCGGCTGATGGATTACCCCCTTGATCCAGAATAACCCCGCCATTTTTAAATAGTTTGGCCAGAGATAGTTACTAAACTTACTACTATTATTATGGCAACTCGTAAGAATACGCCGTGGTCAAACGAGGAGAGCAGACTTTCCTTTGTATAAGATTCGTATACTCTCGTATAAGATTACGTCACGGCAGTTTCCTGCGGCGTCGCTATGACGACCGGGTACTATTTGTGGCGGTACTGTCTGCAATGGAAAACGGAGCGAAAGGCGAGTCGAGTCGAGCTGGTACTGGTAATGGAAAAGCGCCATTAGTCAAAATTAAGCATGGTTTTTCCTGCATAATAGTGCCCAGTTTCAAACCGATGCACTGTGATTCATAAAAATCCTTTGTTTTGTGTTATTTTTATGGGTAATTGATTTTAGATCATGTTCTTTTGAATGACACTTTATGGCCTCTTAGAAAGAGTCCCTCTTTTGTGGAACTACACAAGGAAATGTTCACAAATAGGGTGTAGTTTGGTGCCCTGTTACTTTTTTCAAAACATAGAGGAAAAGTTTGACAGAAGTTGTATGTTAGACAATAGGTTAGGCTATTTAAAATGAGATTAACCTAGAATGAAAAGTTTGTGGGTTTAAAATGCATCAAATGTCTGTACAAATAGTGATTTAGGCTTTTAACTCTAATCCAACAATTAAAATCATGTTGTCAACTGTGTCATTTGTTTTTTCCTAATCACAAATTAAATTAAATTAATTTAAAGCAAAATCAAAGCAATCTGTAAATTAATTCTAATTCATAAAGGCATAATATTTAGCTGTATCCCATTTTGTGTCCAACCCTGTTAGTGCATGCTTTTTTTTGGGTCCCAAACATACTTGTCCCTACTGAGTAAAAGCACAATTTAAGAGACTGTTACTTTTTACTCTTTCTGAAATTGATTGTTAATTTCATTGATGCTTAATTTTGATGTTGGTTTATTCCATGTTTATTACTGGGGGAAAAAATGGTAACAGGGTTGAAAAAGTTCGACAATCTATATTTTTTCGGACTGAATGAGGTTGACGATCAATGTCCCCCCCCCCCCCCGCAAAGATAAACACCCCATTTTACTAATCAGTTGCTGAAAAAGATTTTTAAAAAGAAGACTTTTCATACTAATCTATTTGCTGAAAGTGTCGGGAAATTAGGCGTTTATTGCACCCAGACATTTATTTTTGTTTCTGTGTTGTTAGTATCAACAAGATGCACGTTAGTTTTTTTTTTTTTTTACTTTAGTTTTGCTTCCACTCAATAAGCATAATTAATGCACCCACTCATACTGATTCATGAAAAATGTATATACAACTATACAAATCTAGAATTAATAGGATGAATACAATCTCTCAGTGTGGGTTTCACCCCGAAAGAACAGGCTCGGCCAAAAATAGGAATGCGGAACGTTCCTCATCTGGATGTCTGTGGAGAAAATCCCTCCCACCTGCTGCTGGGCCGTTTCCATGGCAACGCATGAGTTCAGCTTTTTCAAGGCCTGTCCCTTGGTACCCCAAATCACTGAAAGCCTGGACACCTACCCAAAGGACTTTGCTCTGAGCTCTGTGTCATTCTCCTTCTGTAAAACTACTTCATTCTCGCATGCACCTACATCCATCCTCATTTAGACAAACAATTTTTTTCTCTATTAAAAAATGTTTAGTTCTTATTACTACAGCCTTGAAATATAATCTATGATGCTACTCTTTATAGATTAATATATTGTTCAGCATCAGGTATACATTTTGCTGTGTTCTCAGAGACCTCAGTCACCTTATTCTAATATTCAAAAGGAGTCAGTAATGCCCACATTTTGAGTCTAAAATTGTTGAAGGGGGTGTGGTCTGTACCAATTACACTCAACACTTTTAGTCAGTATTGTCATGAAAAATAGCACTCGGTGTACATCTGTGCAGTGCTGCAGGCTTCTAGAGCCCCATTTGATGAGATTTAAATTAATTCTGCCTCAATCCCAAATTCAGCCCCCCCTACTGTGCTCCACAGTATTAACAGAGCTCAGTCTCCGCCCCTTCACAGCGGCTCCGCAGCAACATCCTCTCCTGGAAACATGCATGTCAATGCATTTGAATCCATACAGGCAACCAACAGTAGTGTTTTACAGAAACTGTAGTTCATGCTAAACACCACTGCCGGCCTGTGTTAATGGTTAACTAGTAGTAGAAATGCACCGATGTAATGGCCGCTGATATTTATTGGCCGATTTTTGATCAATTTAAATTTGGATCGGCTAGCATGGAAAATCCCCCCCCAAAAAAACAAAAAAAAGGTGGTTTATTAATTAAATAATTAATTAATTAGTTGTATAATGTCTGTTGCATAATCCAAATGTTTTTCTCTGGGTGAAATAATTAAATACTTGCTAAAACAAAATTAAATCTGTACAATACAGCAGGGCTTGACAATAAGGACTGTATTTTGACCAGCATCAACGACGCTCGGAACAGTTTATCCTTTGCACGTGTTTTTAAGCCATGCGAATTTAAATATTCAAGTGCAAGAAGACGTGAATGAGAACTCAGTTCTACTAACTGTGTGAGAAGTTTTGTGTGTGCACACATCCAAAGCTCGTGCCCGGAAAGACTTCGCACAAATACTGAATTGAGTTCTATTTCACTTCTTGTAATTCACAGGAAATTGTATCAAAATGGCCGTCTTGGCAAGTATCCTTCTAAACATAGTTGGTTGTGTCTTAAATGAATGTTAACAGTTGAGAAATAAAACGCTTGTGTACCAGTATAATGGATCCATGCAGCTCTTAAAGTAACAGCAGCCTAATATTCCTGCTGTGCTGCTGTCTGTTTTAATGTTAATCAAACAACAAAAGACAAAAAATCGCTCACTACTCTTGACTAAATAACTTGTAAGTTAAACATAATAAATATTAATGTACAGTATATTTAATTTATACAAAAATAATATTTTACATTTGATTTATTTTATGTACCTGAAAACTACTGTTAGACCTACCTAAAAAGCACTGTTTATTTAATATGCATCTTTGTTATGTTGTATTTATGTAGGCCTGCTGAATGTATCCAATCCATGTTCAATAAAAAAATTATTTGATGCAGCAATAAACTAGCTAGTATACCATAATGCATGCGTTTTTTAACTTTGAATTGATCATGTTTTAAATTAGCAATTTAAATCATGATCTATATTATTGACAAAAGTTCGAATTAGAGAGAGAGTGACAAGTATCTGTATTGAAATCGGCCAATAGTTTGTTAAAATCGGTATCGGCCAAAAAAATCCTTCGGTGCATCCCCATTAGTTTTTATTTGCTGTAATATTGAGGTCCCTTTCAGTAGTCAGCAGACAGTCACATCCCTTCACTGAAATTCTAAAGGGGCGTACACACCGGGACGAATCGCCACGCATTATTCGCCAGCATTTTTCAACGCGTTCTTTGTGTTCACACCCAAGCGATTTTCGCTGACGATGAGCCGAGTGAACATGCAAATTCATTCCCTGACATTAGATGGCGCTTTATGTAAAACAGAAATAGTCCTATTGTGTAGTCGCTGTCGCGTTTGTCATATAGTTCTTTATGTTCCGACACCAACGAGACCAGCAGCTCTACATTCATCTTGCCTTGCATCTTCCTCGTCTTATTTCTTCCCGGCAGTGTAGACGCTACTTGGCGTATATCTTCTTCGCCATTACGTATGTGTGCTCGGCAAGACCGTTTTGTGTTTGAGCGCCCCCAAGTTGTGTTTTACTGTAACTTCAGAAGCTCCAGACACGTGAGCAAAAGCGCTAATCTCATTGGTCGGATAGTTTTTACGCGGTGCGTCAAACCAAAAAAACGAACCCGAGGCGTTTTAAAAAAAATTACTACTAGTGAGTCTCCGTGATGAACGCCACGCTTTTACGCGTGGCGTTTTCCGCGCCGGTGTGCACACTCACATTGGCGCCCTTTGTTTAGTCACGAGGCGTTAAACGTCGGTGAATATCGCGCGAAATTCGTCCCGGTGTGAACAGGCCTTAAAGGGATACTTCAGGATTTAGCATTAAGCTTTGTATTAGTAGAAAACCTGTAGTATTTTCGAATTACCATGTTTCCACCCTCATATCCCCCTGAGACGAGAGATTTATGTATTTTTTGTCTGGAAAAAATCCTCCGATGACACAAAAATCGTCATTTTGCATCATCGGAGGATTTTTTGGCCAGAGGCTAAAGACTACAGTCAGTAGAAGGAGCTGTTCCGCATGTTTTCAACCCGCCCATAGAGGGTGGGATCTCACTCACAGAATGTACACATAGTGTCAGCCATCTTTTTTGGAAGCTAAGCTAGCAGGCTCTTGTTCTGTGGAGAAAGCTGAGTAGTAGGGGTTACCTTCCTCTTTTTCCCGGACATGTCCGGTGTCGATGTCCGGGATTCAGCTTTTGCTTTCTGCAGTCGCCATTCATTGTTTACATGCACACCTTTTGTTTCAATCTAACTGAATTCATTCCGATTGGTGAATCTGAATGAAGTGTTTACATGAACGCTAAACAAGTGATCGGTTGATGTGCATTTTAACATTGCTAAGAAAATTCCTCATCAGTAATCACGCCACCAGCCTTGCGCAGTTCTCCCGCGGCCCTAGCCTCGTCCTGCTCGCCACAGTAAACATAATGAATGGCGACTTTAGAATGCAAACGCCGAATCCCGGAGATTTTGGGCGATCTCGAAACACATTTTCGGGCAGACTCATCACGGAGACTCACTAGTAGCCTAGACTTGTTGTTTAACTACTGCGCTCTGTTACCGGTAGGCGTGGCCTCCTAGGGCAGCGAAGCAAGTGCATTCTGGGAGTTGTTGTCTTTCATCCGCATAAACCAAAAATACATTTTCTGGCTTTTCTCAGTCTAGAAAGCTCCAAATTCAAAAATAATTTCACATTTCTTCTACATAAATGACCCATTTTAAATACACATTCATCTTTCCAGAGGTGAAGTATCCCTTTAAGGTTGCGAAAAGTGTTTGTTTTTTAAAATAGTTTTTAGTAATTTGCCTTTAGCAGTTTTAACCGCAAGTACACAACAATCAGTGTCAATAATTAATGACTATTGAGACTTGAGGCCGAGTAATATTTCTTTTTAAATCGCTTTACATTGAACACTATGTGATCATAAGTTAAGTGGTCTCATGCTTTATCATTCTTTATTGGCTGCAAGCCGTTGGCAAACACTTAAAATTGAGAGTGCATGAGTGTGTCCTTTCCTAGTGATTTTCATGAGGTAATAAATGTACTGGCTGGTTTAAGTGAATTTTTGTTTTTATGCAACGATCTTTTTTTTTCAGTGTAGCTGCTTATTCCCTGTTTATTATTGATTGTATAGCAGAACCTCTATAAGGAATCAATATAAATACTAATAAACTATACAATCTTGTTGATTTTTTTTTTAATTAAAAAATTGTCTTTGAATATGAGTTTATAAAAGCGGTTTGCATAATTAAATGTAAAAAATGCAGATTTTTTTTTCTTTTCTGTGAACTTTGGTTGTCCTTTTTTGCCCATAGCACAGTTTTCTCAAGGAAGAAACAAATAATTGCCGGGGTTACATTATACTCATGTTCTCACAGTGAGTTGAGGCTGTGACATGAGATGCTCAGGGTCCCATCCATATTTAATCAGTCTCCAATGTACTGAGATCTGCTGAGGGCACCACAGGCCTGAGGAAGGCTATTATTGGACTGGACAAGTTCGGCCTAGCACAGGATGTTTTTGCCCCTCCCTTCTGGACTGACCACCATATTGCTTGATTACTCTAATTTAATACACAGTACTAGGGTGTTTGTGTAAATGCTTTCATGCAGGAGTCTTAATACTTCAGCTTAAATTTTAATGAGGATCTGTAGTCCTGAAGTGACAATTAACAGTTTAAAAGCTGATACCTTTTGTGTTGATAGACATCTATCTAATCTCATTGCAATGACACACAGTGACCTGTAAGTCTTTATTGTTCAGCTGTCAAACTGCATTTTCACATGAAGTGTCTAAAGGCGGTCACACACTAGATGCGGCACTAGATGCGGCAGACATAACACATGCAGTATCCTAAAATCAAAACTATTGTTTTATGTTTTCTATGAATCTTTACACACCGCAGCTGATGTTGCATTCTCACGTTTTCCAAGTTCGACCCTATACAAAATCTTTTAAAAAAAACTAATCCTGGCAAGGGACATGTATATTGTAGACGACACCTTGATTATAGCCAATGTTTCAAGAACAAGTTTATCTATTTGTGGTTTGACAGCTCAAATAAAGCCTAATTATAGAGAATCTTTGTTTTCTTCATGTCCTGTGTCTGACCTCCTTAAGCACCAGAGTGATTGTTATACATATAGGCTAGTTCATACCTACGTAGATTATACCTTAATTCTCATGCTTGATAATCTGTCCTGCTTCATTTCATTTTATCTTGTTTTAAATAGGCTGTGTGGTCTGGGATGAAGTCTCATGAAGTCTTCCATTGGAGCTGACATTCACAGTCAGCTGAAACATCCTTTACTGATCCTCCACCAGAGAAAGACCTGCCCATTGCCCATCACCAGAGTCCCCCTGCACTGTACCGTCTTACTCCCTGACCATGGCTAGTCGAAGAAAGTCTACAACCCCCTGCATGATCCGACCAGATGACTTGGTGACTGCAGACGATCCAGAAGAAATGGATTCTTGTGTGGACGGTACAGAAGAGAATGGATCATCACATGTGTCTTCTAGTGAGGACTGTACAGAGAGGAAGAGTTCTGTGAACTCTATGCAGGAAGCAACAGAGATGGAGAAACCTGACATGAAAACACGACCACAGAGGAAACTCCAGGGAGGCTATGAGTGCAAATACTGTCCCTTTTCCACACAAAACCTCAACGAGTTCAAAGACCATGTTGATTCCAACCACCCCAATGTTATACTTAACCCACTTTACTTGTGTGCAGTATGCAACTTTAACACAAAAAAGTTTGATTCTTTGACAGAACACAATGAGAAGTGCCATCCCGGAGAGTGCAACTTCAAGTTCAAGAGAATCAAATTAAACAGTCAGACCATTCTAGAACAGACAATCGAAGGTTCAAACTGTGCAGTCATCTATGATACAACCAGCCCTCAGCCAGGAGAGGACTTTACTGCTTTTCCTTCAAACAAATCCACTACTGTTAAGCTGGCTAAGTCCAAAGCAGACAGTTTACGGTTACAAGACGATAGTCCGCTGGACAAACTCGCTCAAGATCTCCCGAAAAAGCAAATTACTGCAGTGAATGTGAACGGGACTGTGATAATCCCAGATGCAACTCTTAAAGATGGCCTCTCTCATATAATGCCATCTCTGCAACGCCCACCTAACTACAACTTAGTACCAAAAATCGCCGTCCCCTTGAACACTTCAAAATACAACCCCTCGTTAGATGGCAACTTGACTCTCATCACCTCCTTCAACAAGTTTCCGTACCCTACTCAAGCAGAGCTCTCTTGGCTTACTGCAGCCTCCAAACACCCCGAAGAACAAATTAAAGTGTGGTTCACTACCCAACGACTAAAACAAGGAATCAGCTGGTCTCCTGAGGAAGTTGAGGAAGCACGAAAGAAAATGTTCAATGGAACGATTCAGTCTGTTCAACAAGCATTCACTGTCTTTCCTGCTCAGTTAGCTCAGTCCACTAAAGCTTCACAGCCCCTTATCCAGACCGTCTCTTGCCATGTCCTTGGACAATCTGGCCTAGTGTTGGCACCAGTTGCCAATGGCTCAAATTCGACCAGTTCTCCTCTCACACTAACAGTCACAAATCAAATAGCACAGGGTGTCAAGAGGCCCCATACAGCACCACTGGTTGCCCCAGAGATAAAGAGGCCTTCAATAATCCAGTCCGTTCAGAGTACTCCAAAGTCTGTCTCTCCAACACCAAGTCTTTTTTCAGATTGTGAGAAAACCCCTGATCAGATCAGAGAGCTGACCACTAGCTATGCTCAGTGCCAGTTTCCTGATGATGAAGAAGTGTATCGTCTCATTGAGACGACTGGCCTCTCCTGGGGAGAGATCAAAAAATGGTTCAGCGATCAGCGCCATGGAAACCATAAGGCAGTGCAACAGATTAAAACAGACTTCTCTTCAAAGGACAGCCAACCACATAAGCCTGTCGCCACACAGTTTCCACTACTAGAGAGAGTTAAAGGCAAATCCTCTGAGCAAATGAAAAAGTTAGAGGAAAGTTTCCAAAGGACTAGCTTTCCAACCCAGGCTGAGATAGAGCACCTTGTAGCAGACACCAGGCTCTCCAAAAATGAAATCGATTGCTGGTTTGCGGAGCGCCGTGCACTACGTGACAACCTGGAGCAAGCCTTGCTCAACTCGATGGGTTCGAAAAGGTTTGAGCATCACCTTCAAAGGGGTACATTGAATGGAGTCCATGAGCAGGACAGCAGAGTCAGGGACTCACCTCTTTCCATTCTCACGTCCTCGGTGTGTCCAGAGGCCATTGATGGCAAGTCTCTCTGCCTCCTTAAAGACGTGTTTGCACAAACCCAGTGGCCCTCACCAGAGGAGTACAACCAACTAGAAATCCAAACAGGGCTAGCTCGTACAGAAATTGTCCGCTGGTTTAAGGACAACAGATCTGCTCTGAAGAATGGAACTTTGGATTGGATGGAGCAATTTCAAAGTCTTAGCAACAAAAGACAGAATGGACAAAACAGCTTGTTGATCACAGATCAGACACAGAGCGTCCTACAAAGACACTTTCAAGAGGCAAAGGTACAAAAAGGGGAGGGTTTTGAGAAGCTTGCAGAGCAGCCAAAACTAACCAACCAGGACATAGTAGAATGGTTCACCAGTAAACTGGGCCACAACATGCCTGAAATCAGCAAAAGCAAGGAACATGGACAGGGAAGTGTAGATGGTAAGAGGTGGGTTTCCTTGGCAGCTGACATTGACAGCAAAGACTATGATGCACAGAAAGTGGCACGAGACCTTGAAGTGCTGTCAGCAGAACACCGAGTGACGGGATGAAGTTGTAAAGGTAATAGTCTTATTTTATTTTAACTAGCTGGTTGATGTTTTTGAATGGAGGAGCAAGACAGTTGCTTTCTCAGAGTAATAGCTGCTTCTCGTGATAATGCAGCAGATGTGGCTGTAATACACCCAGGATGTCAGCAGTCTGTAATTTAGCCTTTAGAAAAACAGCTTAGCATTGAGCAGAGCCCAAATTTTGAGTTAGTTGGGATGGGGGCAGTGTCGATTTTCGTTTTTCTTTCAAGCCTCCATCCATAATTTATGTGAGTCAAGTGGCATTTGTTGCTTGTTCTGTTGCAGAAGAAAACAGGCTGCTTTGACTGAACTACATGGGCCTGATGATTAAGGAATAACCTTTGTCGTCGTGTATGGATCCAATGATCTCATATCTGGACTCTGAGGTTATCAGAGACGAGATGGACTGGGAGCATCTGTGAAACACTGTCCAGAGAGTGACCATGGAGTGCCAAAGTTTGACTGCTTTGTTGTTATGTGTTTGTTTTTTAAAAGGGCCCTTGTAAATATTTTTTTCTGTACTTCAACAGATTTGTACAAATTTTTGAAGATGAGACTTTTGTTACATTTATAATAGGAGTCCCAAGACATTTCCTTTGACCCTTATAATGGGATGTTCAATCATTTTTGTGAGGACACAAAATCAACCCACCTGCTGGTGAAGCTGTTATAAAACACAATGTGGTCCACGATGGCACTTAACATTTTAAGTGGACAGACACAAGCGGTGCTTCGATAAAAACCATCTCATTCCAGAAAACGAGGTGATATTATGGACTTTTCTTTGGACCATAAACACATTGCCTGCACTCTCATACTGTACCTTATCGCCAAGGGGGTAGAGCCACATGGTGGACAAAATCAATACAATACAGTGATGCACAGCACATGTTTATTTGTAGTCATAGGCTAATTTTTGGCAATATTACAGTAACTGCAAAATTATACTTATCTTGGCTTTTCCTGGTATTCAAGGCATAGTTCCATTTTCCACTATTCAGCTGTGAACTGCTTTCAGCTCGTTTAAGTGTATTTCTTTTTCCTGCTGCTGCTTTTAGTGTCATGTTCAGACATGTATCAGGAATACTGTACTGCTACCAAGAATCCTGCTTGCTCTTTATAAGAACCAGTCTGCTGTAATTCAATAAAACACAAACGATTGAAAGCCTGTTCTGAGTTTCATTGTTTACACAACGGTACCATTGCCAAAGTAAAAATTTAAAAAACAAACTAACAAAAAACCCCGCTACATTTCTTCGGGAGCTGCTAATTTTCCTTACATTAAGAGTCCATTCAGGGTGCTGCAAATTTGAAATGCAACTTTAAGGCGCCTGTATCCTGAGTGTGTCCCTCAAGACACTGAAATCAATGTACTCAAATATTGAGCACAGTTGCTGTATATTTGTAGCATCAGTAATAAAAAATGCACTCAATGAAATGGCAATAATTGAAGCACTAGAAATGTAAACTGAACTGACATTTTAGTAAAGCTTGTAGATTAGGACAGTAGTAAATTTTATTTGACAAGGATTTTTGGCAAAATCACCATGTATAATTTTAATGTGACTATATCACACCATATGCACACAAAGGTGTCTGGATTTTGTAAAGCACCTTTATCAAAACAATGTGTTGAGGGACATATATAATATTAAACCAACGTGTTTAGTGCATACTAACTCAAATATGATAGTACTGAAAGCCTTGTGTACAAATAATAATTTCTGTTTACTAGTCAGACTGCACGTGTATCACAGGATAACTTAGTTTGATCATCAGTAATGTGTGAAAAATGCATGGATGGCAGTTTTACTGTAAATGGATTGATTGATAATCTACTCAAGGCTGGCATCTAAATGTATAAAACAGATGGAAATATGTATCTAAATGTATATAACAAACAGACTGAAATATGCACAGCACTTTCATCTGCATCTTCAGATTCTGATTGGTAATTCAGTTAATTGACGAATGCAAAGCATAAGCAATGTTTGCATAAACTTTACAATTTAGACAAATGAGGTGATTAAAAAAAAAAATGCATTTTAGATATAAAATCTATGGCCATTCCTAAACAATCATGCTAACAGACAATCGACACTGACCAGTTCATTGAGAAATTAATCGGCTACATTTGACTGTTAGCAAAAAACATGAAGCCTGCATACGTTGAATGATGTGGTCATAATATGGGAAACAAAATCAAAGTCCCCTGAATTTCCTACAATTACACCAACTCTGCTACAGCACATATTTTTGCAGAGTTTCTGTACACACTGTGAAACTCAATAACAGTGTGATATGACATCGAGAGTAAGAGGACATTGTAACGCTGGGAAAGAGCCCCCGTCACTTTTCCTTTGCGGGTCAGAAGAAAAGCAACAGAAATGAACCCCAAAACATAAAATCCATATTCTGCAGCATTGATGGTAGAAGTTTCTGTATTTATCCATTAACGTAAGAGTCAAAGGCTTTAGTCGTCCCCCAGACGAAAGCCTTGACCCCAGTTATGGCGCCCACCACCACCACCGCCGCCGCCTCCTCCTCCTCCTCCTCCTGCCTGCTCTTGGGGTACAGGTCTCCTGCTCGGAGGAACGCCGAACCCAGACACCCCTCCTCGTCGATTTGGGAACATCTGGTATCTTAGGGAAAAAGGAAATGATAGGAAGAATATGACAATAAAGCACCATAAGAGGCTTTTCAACACTTACATTCACTTTCAGCTATGGATTCATAAATTAAATATTTAATAATCAGACACCAGCATTGCTTAACTCATAATAGGAAATTGAGGCCAGCTGTGCAGCCAATAAACTCACAGGAACTGCGGGGTGGACAAGAAGGACCTGCCACCCAGGTCCATGGGGTATTTGAACATCAGAAAGAAGTAAAGGTGGCCAACCAAGTTCCCAATCAGCTCATTGACAACACTGAAGGAAAAAAAGGTTATTGTTACAATAATTATTATGCCACTGTGATGATTCATTGTTATGCAGCATCTACATCAAATGGCTGTAATAATTAAACATGAATCTGTGTGGGGGAAAAAGATTCTTACGAGCCACCGATGATATAGTTGAATCCCAGAATTACCCAAGGGAGATAACAAGCCTGTGTTAGTGTGAAAATTAACAGGTTTTAGTGTGGAGCATTAAAACACACATCATATAAAACATACTATAGTAATGTATTGAATACCTTGAATCTGGTTCCGAACCAGAAAGATACAATCGTGTCGCGATTTAGCTGAGCCCAGACATACAGAACAGACATTATCAAAGGGATCATCAGGAGCTGCAAAATACAAGCAACCCAATATCCATGAACAAATAATTAGGGAAATAACAAATTAAAACAACATAATAGAATTTCTCTCACACAACATAGATAAAAATGCTTTTAACTGTCATGCAACGGTTCCTTAAACTAATAAGTTACATTAAAAAGCTTAATTAACTACAAATTCCAGGAGTGCAGAAGAATGGTGATAGATCACGAAAGGTTGTCGTTCGATAAAGTAGCACGTTTTTAGAAAGATAAAACATTTTTAAATGTATTAATTTAATGACCATTTAAACAATATAAGATGTTTGCTTTTTAGGCAATTTAATGATTAAAAGATTATGTAAGGGAGGCAGGGGGCATTTTTTACATTGTCTTCCATAACTGACAGCTCCAAATCTCTAAATCTTCTTTCAGCATAAGAAACATATGGCCATAGTACCATCACCATAGTTTAATACGAGTTTTTAAATGTGTCAAAAAACTCAAAAAAAAAAGTTTACATATAAAGAAAATACAAAAAATTCATAAGATTTTTTTTTTTTAAGAAATGAATACTACACCAAGGACACAATAAATTGATCTTACATTGTTGCAATATATATATATATATATTTTTTTTTTACTTTTTAAGTTTCCAAAGATATATTAAGCTGTGTGACTGTTTTCAAAATTGATAATAATAAATGTTTCTTGAGCACCAAATGAGCATATTAGAATGATTTCTGAAGGATCATGTGACACTGAAGACTGGACTAATGATGCTGAAAATTCAGCTTTGCCATCACAGGAATAAATTACATTTTACAATACATGAAATAGAAAAAAGACTTTCCAATGGTAGTACATACTAAAAATATGTTTTAAAAAAGATCATTATTACACTCAGTATCAAATAAGACTTTCTTTTTTCTTTTATTTTAACTACTAGCGCGGAATTTCCATGATGTTACAGCAAGTCTACAGTGTTAGCTTCTGTGATTTATATCAACCTTTAACTGATATAATATAATGAAATAGTTCAAATTTAAAGGTATCAAAACTTTACACGGGTAAAGGGAAAAAAAGCATACTAACCTGCATGTCCATCATTAAGCCTGTTATCTGAATTACAAATGTTAAAGGGAAATGCACATGCTTCCAAAAAAAGCTTTTGCTTGCTGTGCGGAAGTTAAAAAACATCCTTAGAGAATATTAAATCTTTTAATGCAATATACTAAAATGCTGAATTCAGCATGACACTTTCACTGACTGAACTAATTTACAGTAATGTGTGTATGCGCTGCACAGATGCAAATCATTTGATGACATTGAATAATATTTGTGCAGCACTGAATGACCCGTTTATTCTTTTAAAATATTACTGTATAGTGTGCACATGGCAGAAAGGATACAACAATGCAAATCCAGTTGAAAAGAAGCATGAACATGTAGTCTGCTGGTCTTCCATCAAAAGCTCCTGTGAAAGGGAGAACAGATGATGATTAGTATGGAATGTCACTTCTCATTTCATTTACTCTCATTAAAGGTATACTCACTCCTTTTTCCAGTTTTACACAAACATAATATAACTAAAAACTATATTTAAAATGAATTGAAAATGAAGCCTAATCAAAGCTATTTTATTTTACATGGAGCGGGTCACCACAAGGGGGGCGCCATTTTAAAATCCCATAATCAAATAAAAAGTTCTTCCTTTATTTGGTAACCCCCCTATTATTGGACATGACAGTGATTAGAGCATTTTTACAACAGCATCAGTTAAAGGTATTGTAGGTAGGAATTTTATAAAAAAAACTTTTTCCCAAATTTGTTTAAACTTTCTGTATATATCAATGCATAATTAAAATGTAAGTACTCTGATAAAAAGAGTATAAAAATCGAGTGACTCTAGACCGTTTAATCTGCACTAAACACAGCTCATTATTTCCATCCGGGACGAAACAAAGGATTGGCTCAGGCGACTGTAACTCTCTCGCAACCACCCTTTTGCCACACAGGACCTGCCCACTTGCGCGTGCACCCATTTGATTTGAGGAATTCAAGAGGCACGGAACCTAGGAATAGCAAAACAATGGCAGAGAAAGACCAATCAAAATTCACATATGCAGTTCGCGAAGGCAAACCTTAACCAGGCAAAAAAAGGAAGACAGTAACGTTACTAGAAAAGGTAATGAACAAAAAGTCTTTGGATAAACAACGAAATAAAACGCGTGTCAATATCGGTGTGGTTTTCCAGCGATGGCGAGAACTGAGAGACCTCACTTTGCTTTGCAAAAGTGCTATAAAGTATCTATAAAGCTTTGCCTTATAGATAACTAGCTCGTTAGCGAATCAATAAATATATATTTTAAACTTTACCAATATCAATATGCTTGCTTGATAGTGAGTACTAAAATACATCTTATTTGTTTATCTTCATAATGATAAAGTTCGATTTTTTTAAATACATGTGATTCTGACATGATGTCACTACATGCACTGCGCTCCTTCCTCTCCGCTCGTCTCAGGTAAATAATGCGTCTTCAGCTCAGCGGTCGGAGTCGCGCGTTCATGTGTTTTTGGGGCGTGGCTTTGGAAGGAGCCCAGAAGGGAGGGGGTGGAGTGAATGGAAATAATGAGCTGTCTTTAAAACAGTCGTGAGAGGTCTACAGACACTCGATTTTTATACTTTCTTTTTCAGAGTACTTACATTTTAATTATGCATTGATATATACAGAAAGTGTAAACAAATTTGGGAAAAAGTTTTTTATAAAATTCCTACCAACAATACCTTTAAGTGAAAACTTTTGTGTGACGTTGCATCCACGCCACTAGGCATCGGTATAAAAAGGCAGTTCACACCAAGAACGATAACTATAAAGATAACTATATCAGCATCCACATCAATTGATTATAACATTATAATAATATATAGCTATCGAACTTGTTGTGAATGGGACTTTAAAGGGTGATAACTATAGTGATAATTTTAACTATAGTTTTAATAATTGTACTAATTCTATGAGAACAGAAAGTCCACACCACAGCTATTACAATAACGACACAGAGAAACTATTTTTGTAATGACTACGAGAATTTTTTTTTCTTCAGCATTTACAAAACATTTACTGACAATCAGAATCCATCCAACTTTAAAAAGCTTGAGCATTTAAAGCTGCAGACGACATAACTGCAGTTAAGATGACTGCTGAATCGACCAGCGCAACTTAAACAAAAAAATACTACTACTTTTCAGTCCAGTCAGACGCTATTCTTATTAAAAGAGGTTTAATATATTTAGGGACACAGAAGCTACCTGTTTCAAGCCTCGAGGAGTACTGGTAGAGAAAATACAAATTAACCAAGTAGAGAAAACCTGTCCCTGGGCCAACTGGGAAATACAACGTTGCAGATAATGGTCTCCATATCTGTTGAGAGAGCACAGAAAAATGATTAGTGACTTGATTAGTGAGATCACCGTTGGACATGCCCATAGATTCTGGCCTATTAAAACAGATGTATCAAGGTAGTCATTAGACGTAAGACAGTAAACTGCACTGCAGATTTGATTCACTATCCATGTGCCTGAGCATGACTACAGTTATTACACCAGACATCACGCTCTGAGAGGAACACACACTCATCTGGTTTGTTATTCTGTAATTCCCAGTCTAGGAAACCTGGGTTAGTAAACAACAGAAAAACACCCCTGCACAATAAAAAAAAAAAAAAATCTCTGGTGTTTAATTTTCTCTCAACATGCACATGCACACTTCATCCCTCTCTATAGTCTCCGGCTGTCTCGTCCTCCTCCCTTTCCCTGTATCCCTCACTTCTAGTGCTTTCTCTCCTCCCTCCGGCACACACAGAAACTCTGAGCTAGCAGGGTTTTTGGGTCTGGGGCACAGTGAATCCGCTGAGCAGCAATGCTTTGATGTTGGCTCTGCGGTAGCCAGGCAGTCCAGCGGCCCCCTCGCGCACTGCAGCATAAATCACACCAGCTCACTTGTGTGGAGAGGTGACCTCTGTGCACTGCAGCGCCGAGAAAGTGGGTTAAAAAGCACAGCAGGATTGGTATGCTGCGAGAGGACGGGAAGAGGTTTATTTTGCCTAAATGGTTCCTTTACAAAACAAATGTGCCAATGTGAGCACTGGTTCACTTTGACAAAAAGCTTTGTGTTGCCCTTAGCTTGGCAATATACACTCTTTAAAGCTTATCTGTACTGTACCATGTTATTCCTCACTCTATTGCACCTATATCTGCACATAAACCCCATATAAATAGGAGCTCAATGTCTAAGTACCTAAATTCCAGCTAAAATTGCAGCTACAAAAATGAACCAGAGGTTAATTAGCCATTAGCAGAGGTGCCTGAATTTCAGGTGTGTCACCCACGAAAAAGGTGCCATAGGAAACAGATTAAAAGCAATATTTATGCCATTTATAAGCTACATTAGCCAACAACTGACAGTAAAAACTCACTGTAAAGGACATTGAGACGTGACATATGCTAAATGCCACAAAAATGACTAGATAGTGTAATGTGGGTTTCCAGGTATTCCACATTATAAAATAACTTTTAGGGGAATGGTGCATTATCCTGCAAATCAGCTTGCAATTTGCATGACAGCTTTTAAAACAGGGGGCTTCAATCTTTTAATTCCCACAGACCCACCATACGACCATCCTCATATGATGGACCCCCATCCTAAAATTCATAAGGCAGCTATAATTTTCATGCACAAAGATCCAATTTATACGGTGGAAAATTAAGATTATAATTATGTGTAAAATATTATTTGGAAAATATTTAGGATTTTTTAAATCTATATATTATGACGTTTTTTCCTACTCACTAATTCATTTTAATTAAATATGTCTTTCATGAAATTATTTATTTTAATTAAGATTTTATTTATTCCACTGTTTTACTCTAAACTTTTCCATAGACCCCAGTCTTCTTACAAACACCCATAACATTCTTTTACGCTTTTAACCCACAAACAAATAGCTTTGCGCCACCTGGTGGAAATTACTAGTATCGAAAACAATAAATATTATATTTCTAATGATTAATGAGCGACCATGATTAATAACATATGTTTACATATTTAAAAGCTTAATATTTTAAAGTTTAGGCAAATTGATAGAATTAGACATTAGAAAAGCCGACCTCCACAATGTGGTAAATAGATACACTATTATTTATATTATATTCAAAGTCGAAAAACTAAAATATTTCCTAATCAGATACAGTAAACAATGTTTTTTTTATGTAGAAAAAAAAAAAATTTTGCAGTATTAATGTCCCGGAAGTAGTCTCCAGACGCGTACTCAGCTGTCATTGGTTGAGCACAGATCAGGCTGGGGCTCGTTCAAAGTTACGGTTTTTGCTTTTCTGTGAGTGCGCAACTTTTAAATCAAACGTCGTTTTCTGCCTTTCAACCTTATAATATAGCTCCAGTATAACAATTTTAATGGTGACTTGACAGATGGAGGGTGGGATTAAATATGTTAGAATATTGTCGATGCACATATTACCCATGTGTTACGGTTTTGCCATTCTTATTCTGCATTATCGTTAAACATCGCATTAACTATTCGTTTCGACAACTTTTAATGTCTAACATGCAAGCTTCCTAATGTGCAACTAAATATTATAACACAAAAACGTATTCAGGCAATCATGAGTAGTGTGTACGCAACCATACTTTATAGACAGCATTATATGCTAATCAAAAAACCGTCAATCATAATCATCATCATCATCATCATCATCATCATCATCAACCATAGACATAATAATATGTCTATGTCATGACTCAACAACAACCGCTTCCTACAGCACAGTAGCCCATGTGTGGGCATCTGTTTAACGTTACTTCAGATTAGGCCTACAAGGCCTTGTCATCGCTGCTGTTGTCTAAAGTCTCTGCACTGTTTAGTTTAATCTAAACTTACCTGGAATTTATGAAAGAATGCCTCCGGCCATAACACAAGATACATAGGACCGATTAATCCCAGCTTTCCTATTAGCGGCACAGCAATTGAGCCAGCAAACCAGTAACGGGTGATGAAAGGGATGTTTTTAAACCAGTCCCCGATATCTGACATCTTGCCATATGATTTAAGACCCTGTAGATTATCTGTCGGTTCTCCGCCGATGCACGTTTGGAAAAAGAGCAGGTGCAACAAACGAAACTGTGATCACAAGGCAGAAATGCTGTTTCAGTCTCCTTCTATTTTGGTTACCCTGGTGTACGCAACTCCTTCCCCGTTTAGTTTACATGACGTGGCCGCGCACAGACGCGTCCTTGTTGCGAATTTCCGTTCAATTTGACTGTCAAATTAACAGTCACGCAAAGAAATATGGAGTTTATACGAAGTCGAAAAAATGCTGATATTTAAGAATTTAGCGTTTTATCAGCGATATATTTTTTTTGTAACAATCTCTGTCACAATTATGTGCAACGTAGTGCGTATTTTAAGACTACGTAATTATAAGAAAATCGTTAGAAGTCTTTTATATTGACGTGTCATTCAAGACGTTTTGAAACCGGAAACGACTATTGGCGCTACTTTTGGTAAAGCGAAGTTTTTTTTATTATGTTTGTAAAAATATCGCAGATAAGTCATTTAATTTGTCAAAATGCTATTACCACTAAGGTCAATAAGTTGTTAATAAGTTTTGTTAAAGAGTTGACTAAAGAATTATAATGCCATTATTTAACTCATGTTGTGCTAAACCTGTATGACTTTTTCCCCCCTGATGTTTTACAAAAAAATGTTCGGCAGAATGTTTGGGACTGCTAGCCTCAGTCACCAATCACTACATATATTTTTCCATGTAAAAAATGGTGACTAAAGTTGTCATTCTGTCCGTCATCGCTTTTATGTTCCATTTAAAAAAAGAAAGTCATACAGGTTCAAAGAACTGGAGAAATTAAATTTCTCGGTGCACTATCGATTTTTAATGTTACTTCCAGTGCCCCTTTGTCAAAGTAGGTGAAAGTGAATGATAAAACTGCACGTGTGTTTGTGGGTTGAATTTGTGTTTATTTCTTTTCCAGCAGTCCCATGCCTTCTAGAGATGTCTCTGAGCTCAGTACAGTCCACCGTATCCACTCTGAAGTCATGTCAAACAGATATTGGAGCTTGTATGGACATGATATCAGACGTTGCGCTGGGAATAGTCGAAGCACAAGGTGAGCAGCCAATGTTTATCTACAATTAAACCGTATTTTTACATAAACACTCAACAGCTAGCTATATATATTAGTCATTTTATTCAGCATGCATACATAAAATTTATCAAAATTGTAGTAAAGTCATTTATAATGTTAAAAACAGTTCTGCTGCAATTTTTTTTGGTGAAAACCATGATAAAAACATTTCAGGATTCTGAAACAAAGTTCAAAAGAATAGTATCTATGTTAACATTGTAACATTGATAATGTTTCTTGAGCACAAAATCAGCATATTACTGTGATTTCTGAAAGATCACGTGACACTGAAGACTTGAGTAATGATGCTGGAAATCCGAAAAGCTTTGCTTTGCTTTCATATATTTCCAGAATTGCTGTTTTTACTGTGTTTTAGTCAAATAAATGCAGCCTTGGTGAACATAAGAGACTTCTTTCAGAAACAAAAAACTGCTGAACTGTAGCGTAAATCCCTGATTTTGATAATATTCACAAGATGCGTAAGCCTGATTAATCTCTTTTTGCCTATTATATGTCTTAATATGATGCATATATTTATCTTTGTCCCAAATATTATCATTTGTTTTTCAGACATACTTTTTAAAATGTGCATTTTTATTGAATTTCAGGTATGGATAACAGTTCAGCTCTAAAGAAACTGGAGGACATGATTCTGGAGTGTTCCAGACTGGACAGAGAAATCAATTGTTTTGTGGACTCTGTTGATGAGATGACTGCCCAGGTTTGTCTTGCTGACTATTGAGATAAAGTCTTTGTCAAGTCCCCCACTGAGCCACCCTGACTTTCTCTCATATGTTCTGCAGGTCAGACAAGAACCTCCGGAGGCCATGGTTCATCTGAGAAACTCTGTAAAGGGCCGTTTCACTGAGTTAATGGCTGGAGTTTCAGACGCAGACCTGCAAAGGCACAGCAAGGTGGTTGCCTTCAAAGACAGTGTCAGGAAATATGCCATGCAAGGTGGGACACAACACTTCTTGCAGTACAGCATTCACAAAAAACGTGTCATAAGTGATACCATTCCTCAATGTATATTTGTACATATATGTATATGCAGCAGGTCAAACTGCAGATGAGAATGAAGAGGAGGAACTGGATGAGGACATTGCTGTTACACAGAGCCAGACAAACTTCATCTGCCCTCTCACCCAGGTAAACATACACTTGATCAAGTGCATAAGATGTTATGGTTCTTGAGTTAAAAGTTCACATTTGTGGTGGGGTTTTTGTGTATTATTTGTATTGCATGAATAATAAACTTACAGAAATGTTATTTGACCTTATCTTGTTCTGACAGGTTGAGATGGTCAATCCAATGAAAAACAAGATATGCAATCATTACTATGACCAAGGGGCTGTACTTGAAATGATTAAGTGCAAGCACAAAAATAAGAAGACATTTCGGTATGTAGCCACTGCTCAGTTCCGTCTTTACCTTGTCCCAAATAAGTATACAGTTAATTAATTTCCATATCCTACCATCAGCCAGTGTCAATTTAAAGTTTAATTTAAAGAAATTACACTTAATACACTGACACTATCATTCAAAATGTTGGGGTTGGTAAGATTTTTGAATATTTCTGAAGAAAACCAAAAAGAACCTCAGTAATATTGTGAAATATTATTTATAAAAAAAACAAATTTTCTCTTTTAATTAATTTATTTTAATCTTTAGTGTCACATGATTCTTCAGAAATCATTCTAATATGCTGATCTGGTGCTCAAGAAACAACTGCTTAATAGTCTAATGGAAAACGTCTTGGATTTTTTAAATAGAAAATTCAAAACAGCATTTATTTGATATATAAATTTGTAAAAGTGTAAAATGTAAAAGTCTTTACTCACACTTTTGAGCAATTTAATGTATCCTTGCTAAATGAAAGTCTTAATTTCTTTTAAAAAGAATCTTACTGACCCCAAACATTTGAACAGTATTGTATAAAACAGCCTTTGTTACCCACTTTTCTGTCATTTTTGACAGCTGTCCAAAGGTTGGCTGTGATAACAAAGATGTTCAGCAGTCGGACCTCGAGTTGGACTTAGTTATGAAGAGAATGATCCAGAACCACAAGAGACAGAGCGGTAAAACTTAATCGGACTAAATCAGTCCCGCAGATGTTCCTAGTTGTTCTGTTTAAAATGGTTTGCCTGAAAATTTAAATCTAGAACTGGAGGCTTTTTTTTGTAAAATATGGTTTGTGTTATAGTTAATATATAACACATTTTAAGTTCATGTTTGTAATAAAAATATAAACGCACTATGCTTACCAATGCTGACTTTTTTTGATAAACAATAAATATTTGTTTCTTCTCATATTGCCTCACTGTCAAACTAGCCTGGTAATACCAAACTCTGCTACTTCGCTACACCGCCGCCCTCTCCTCCCTGATTTTGCACAACACCATGGGCAGAATTTTCACCGGAGGAAAAGCATAGAAGCGAACTTTCGGCCATCGCGCGTTCAACGCGTCCTCCTCCCGGGAGGAACGAGACAGCGAGAAGAACGTCTGACAATGCGTGTTCTCGCTCGTTGCGAAGAGATCGACCTCCGCTCTGTCGAAACGCTTCCATATCAGCTGAACCGTTCCTGGGTGAAGCCTCCATTCCCCTTGAGGGATCCCGCTCCTCGAGAGCAGCCGCGAGTGATCATAATGCGCTTGTGGCCGGAATACCACACACTTGAAGGGATGCGTGCTTTCAGCCAGTGTTGAAGCGGTCTCATATGCAGCAGCCCTAGGTGACACACCGACGAAGCCGCTGCCATCCGTCCCAATAACCTCTGAAATTCCTTCAGTGGGACGAGCTTGGAGCGAGTCTGAAGAGACCGAGAGAAGAGCTCAGAGCCTCCGCTCGCTCGGGCGAGAGGCGCGCTCTCATTCTCACCGAATCCAAGTGCACACTCCCAAGAATGTGGTGGTGTGGCTCGGTGAGAGCACACTTTTCTGAACGTTCACCCTCAAACCAATCGTCTCCAAGTGACGAAGGAGGGCTTCCACATGGCCGATCAGCATCTCTTTCGATTGGGCGAGAACCAGCCAGTCGTCCAGATAGTTCAAGACGCGCATCCCGCTCAACCTGAGGGGTGAAAGCTGCGCGTCCACACATTTTGAAAAAGTTCGGGGCGCGAGGGCTAGTCTGAACAGAAGCACTGTGTATTGGTACACCGAATTCTCGAACGCGAACCTCAGGAATCACCTGTGACGCTCTACTATCTGGATATGAAAGTACGCATCATTTAAATCCACTGAAGCGAACCAATCCCCGGGGCGAATTTGCGCCAGGATTTGCTTTAGAGTAGTTATCCTGAAGGCACGCTTGTGGAGCGCTCTGTTGACAGGTCTCAGATCCAGTATGGGGCGGAGACCACCTCCTTTTTTTCGGCACTACAAAGTAGCGGCTGTAGAACCCGCTCTCCCGCTCGCTCGGGGGACCGATTCTATCGCTTTCTTCTCGAGCAAGTTGCACACTTCTTGCCTCAGCACATGAGCGTTTTGGGGCAAAGTTAATGACTGAATTACACCGCGGAAGCGGGGTGGTCTGCGTTTCAACTGAAGTGTGTACCCGTGCCGAATTACATTTAACACCCACGGCGAAATGCCCGGAAATAGCTTCCCACGCTGCCTGAAAGTGACTCAGTGTGGGCTGATCTAAACCTGCGGTCATCGCCGGTGTTTGTGGGCTGTGAATGAACACCTCGCGCCCGCGAGGTGCCCTTATAGTTATTAACCGTGACTCTGCACTGCTCGAGGGCAGGGCGGGTAACACAGTGTATGGTGCGAGAGGGGAAAAAAGCTCTGTTTGTGAAATGGTAGTTTGCTTTATTGAACATAAACCTGAAACAACATTCACAACACAATCGCACATGTCGCTCGTGGAACGCCGAGGGACTAAGTGCTGTAGAGCGCGGCGCTTGCCGTCTGGCGCTCTCTTCCCCTCTTGCCCGGTCGGTCAGGACGACTGTTTTGGCCTCACTGGAGACGCGGCGACTTTTCTCCGCGGGCTCCTCTGGGCCGTCCTCTTCTTACCTGCACCCTGCCACTGGCCGCTCCGTCCTCTGTTTCGAACATCCGGCTCCGGGCAAGGTGCTGACTGCCGTCTGGCCGCAGCTTGAGGTTGGCGGCCCGACGCGGAATACGAGCGAGAGCGAGGCTGCGGTGGAGGCGGCGGCGCCCTGCGAGGAATGACGTGGCTCGGCTTCTTCTGGGTCTCAGAGTAGCGCTCGGTGACCTTCTCGACGGCATCCCCGAACAGGCCTGCTGGGGATATCGGTGCATTCAGCAGCGTCTTCCTGTCAGCCTCCTGCACGTCCGAAAGGGTGAGCCACAGGTGTCTGTGGAGGACCACCATAAAACCCATCGAACGGCCTATTGCCTGGGCCGAGCGCTTCGTGGCTAAGAGCGCGAGGTCCATGGCCGAACGAAGATCCCGGATGGCGTCAGCGTCGACGCCATCCAGAGACTTCAGCAGCTTCGCCTGGATGACCTGAAGAATGGCCATGGCGTGCAACGCATACACCGCCTCCCCCGCCGCTCCGTAGGCCTTGTTCGCCTGGTAGGCCGTGAATCTGCAGGCTCTGGACGGCAGGCTGCGGTCTGAGCCAAGGGCGGGAGCCGATGGGCAGAGGTGCGCGGCTACAGTCTCCGGTCGGTCGTTCTCGGAGGCAGACAGAGACATGGAGTCCTCTTCCTCACTCGCCCCGAAAGACACGAAGTCCGCGATCTCGCGAGGGGGGTGAAAAGTGGCGTCGGGGAAACTCACCGGGGGTCGCATCTCGACTCTTTCGCGGCTGGGGCCCACCAGCGGCTCAGTGGCAGCAGTGGGCCCGATCCCCGCTGCTGCACGAGCTTCATCCCGCCTGGCCTTGAGAGCTCGTAAGGACATATCCGCACAGTGCTCGCAAGACCCGCCATCCTTGAGGGCCGACTCGGCATGGGCCAGCCCCATGCACGCGATGCAGAACAGGTGCGTGTCCGGGGGCACGATGGGGCCCGAGCACAAGTTGCAAATAATTGCCATCGGATGCAGAAGACAGTAAGGTATCTTCGGCGCACCTTCGACGATGGCGAAAAATCCTACTCACAGTAGTTGGAGTATCAGCTTTCTAGCACACGATTTGAGCGTGAAGAGAGAGATTCTGAGGAAATTGACGCTGCATCTGCATTATTACTGCAACGGTGTTTCAGTATTTGCATATTTTGAGTCAAGTGGCCAGCCCGGCTGGCGTTAGCCTATAAGATTTCAGCAGAAGTGAAGGAGGTGGAGTTCCCATATACGACAAGTTCCGTAGCCTTGATAGGGAACTGAGAGACATGTCGATGTCTCGGACTGAGTACAGAAGCGAACTGAAATAGAGCGAAAGTACGAAGTCTGACGCAGTCAGGCTACTGTCAAACCACAGATTACCTATAAATGTTATCCTGCAATCCTTAGTCAATGAGAGTAGGACTCTTTTCATCTGTCAATGAAAATAAAACCTGCTTCCTTTCAAAACCCATTCACAACCAGATATTTATTCAACAATTGCACTGTAAAATAATCAATTAGAATCAGGCCAAAAGCCTGTTTTATATTACTCCACCATGTCACAAAGACATGAAATCAGCATGAGACATGAAAAACCACTGGGCATTAAAACCAGCTTAAATTTTACAGGTTTATTATAGTATCTTCTCCAACTCTTTGACTGCCCCAAAAACCTTTAACTGAGTACAACTAACTAAAATAATACAAACTTTGGAAATTTGTCTATGTGGAAAATTTAGAGACACACATTGAGACATAAAAAGGACAGTCTGATTGGTTATGCCCAGTCAATATGAAACCAGCATCTGAATTTGCCCCAAAGACCCTAACAGACATATACAGGAAAGGGATCTCATGGTCAAAAGTCTTAAGATGGTTCTGTGTGACTAGTTATTTCATAAGACTAAGGCCTGGTTTAACAGACAGGATTTAGATTAAGCCAGGAGTAATCCATTGTTAAATTAGGACATTTAAGTAGCTTTTATAAATGTGCCTTAGAAAAAAATATTACTAATGTGCATCTTAAGACAAAACAATGGCACTGACATATTTTAAGATATGTCAGTGCAAGTTGCTTTCAGTTAAAACAGCTCAAACATGCATTTTAGTCTGGGACTAGGCTTAAGTCTTGTCTGTTAAACCAGGCAAAAGGGACACAGGCATCGACTTAACCCATCACTTAGTCTTTAACCAAGAGCTTCCCATGCATTGAATTTATCATTTTGACATCACAAACAGCATTTCATGGAGTATATTATTGAACATTAAATCATTTTAATTCTTACATGAAAAATGAGCACTCAAACCGTATGACCACATTTATATAGACCAAAACAAATGGTTTGTTTATAGATAAAAAAATTGTCTTTTGCCCTTAAGAAAACAGTCTTTTGTAAAAGCCAAAGAATAATTTTGTCTCCTCAAAGGCAAAAAAACAAAAAAAGAGCAAAGGCATCTCCACATTAACTGACTGTATTTGAATGAAGTATATTTTGAATACGGATACGTACTTTCTTCAAAAACACCTTTAATGTTACATGCATCGGACATTGTTCTTCCACATGATGTGCATTTAAAAACAAACCTTATGTGACTGTCTGTTTATCAGATAACTGAACATTTATATTAATGAGAGCTCTGTTGGACAGTCCTGCGAGCTCTTTGTCCTGGTCCATCCTTGTGAAGGTTCAACGCACTAATACAGGGAGTCTCTGAGTTCGTTTCAGTGTTGGTCCATGTCCCCATGTCTCTTTGCACCAGTCCAAGCGTGGTGGAGGGTTGTATCTGTTGAGATTCTGAAATCGCCACGGTGGTTCTATCCGATGGTGATACCAAAGCCACACTGAAACTTGTTCTTGCGGTGGTTAAGGAAGGCGCCTAGAGCTAATGATAGAGGAAGGGGAAACAGCTTCTTTTCCAGCGTCGCTCCCACCACCCAATTGCTATCTAAAGAACCTGAAGAACAAGGTTGAAGAGGATAGGTAAGCTTAACAGTAGAACAAAACTGGAATATTCATGGAATAAGAAGGGCTGCACGATTTGGTGAAATAAAACCAAAATCGTGATATAGCTTAGTGAGATTTTCATATCACAAAGACTGCAATTTAATAGACTATAATATACACTAATAAAGACAGTCTTTGCTGCGATCTAATGGCACACAAAATTAGTAAAAACTCTTAAAACTACCTTCCGTCACACAACAATAGTAGGATTTGTAAAATTATGGTGGGTTTGCTCGTCCACCATGACACTCTCTGTGAGAAATGCTGCAAGCAGAGTGATTCAAATGGTGAAACGGTTTCCATGGTGATACTGGTGGAATATCACATGGCCGGAAAAGGCTCTCAGCCAATCAGATTCGAGAACCAGAACTCAACTTTTGAAACAGTTCAAGAAAAGCCTTCCAATACCTTTAAACAGCAGATTTGCTTTGGGTACATCCAACTGATAACCAAACGACATGCTTGTGTCCTGCATCCGTGTGCTAGCCTCAAATTCCACCCCAACCTGGAGCTGTGGGAGGTTTTCAGATTCAAAGGAGTGAGTTTAACAGACAACGGGTCTTATCTTGAGTCACAGATCTGTCATTTATTTTAAATCATTAGATATGATGTACCTGGTCGTTGGCTTTGTGGTAGTATGACGCATGTGCACCAGCTCCTCCAACAGTCAACGTGGCGACATAGTTACTACCTGAGGATGAAAAGGTAGCAGATCCAATTAGTACATTTAATCAAATTATGATTATTGCCAGACCTTGAATAAAATGTGATAAAGAATGATCTGGAAATGATTACCTGTGTACCTGCCCACTAATGATGTGACAGTGCCCTCCTCTCCTGGTCTCTTGTGATAGACCAGCTCGCCCCCCAATACCAAAGCAGGAGACAAGGACTGGAGGTAGTGCGCAACAATGATACCTATCAGACGAAACATGAATGTGAGCTCCTACTAGGGCTGGGCGTTATGACGAAATGTATATCGTTACCATAAAAAGTCTATCCTTAAAGATTTTGCCATGTCGTGCATATCGCGGTATGTAAATATATAGCACTATCAACACTTTTTAGAGAGATGAAATGCATGAAACAGAATATAAAGAATGGGACCCACACTGCACAAGTGCGTGCACGGAAAGCTCCCCTCTCAGCAGGTGATGGCAAATTTGGGGCGTACTTGATGTTAAAAAGTGTTAAGCACAATAAGCGGTGAAAAAAACTCAATGCGCCGACTGTCACAGTGGTAAGTGCACAGAAAGACAGTGCAGACAGTGCACAGAAAGCCGCTTCTCTCAGCATGTGATCGGGAATTCAGTTCTCTTTCACGTTTTATTGCACTTGAATGGTCGAATACACACGCAATTGTCAAACTGCCCATCGTGTGGAGTATTCATGTAAACACTGCCAGTTGTGTCTCAAGTGAAAGTAAAGGGATCGTCATTAAAGGGATAGTTCACCCAAAAATGAACATTTTGTAATAATTTACTCACCCTCATGTTGTTCCAAACCGGTTTGAGTTTCTTTCTTCTGTTGAATAAAAATATATTTTAAAGAATGTTGGTAACCAGACAGTTGACAGTAGCCATTGACTTCCATTGTATTTTTTTCCTACTATGGAAATCAATGGCTACCAACATTGGCGACATTCTTCAAAATATCTTCTTTTATGTTCAGCAGAAGAAAGAAACTCATACAGGTTTGGAACATGAGGGTGAGTAAGTGAAGACAATTTTAATTTTTGGGTGAACTATCCCTTTAGGAACACAAATTGTAAGTGAAGACAATTTTAATTTTTGGGTGAACTATCCCTTTAGGAACACAAATTGTAAGTGAAGACAATTTTAATTTTTGGGATGAACTATCCCTTTAATGTGAAGCAAACAAAAGAGAAAATAACTTGTTGTTCTTGACTGAATAGTTTTGTTTTTAGCTTTAATAAGAATACATTTATATTTAATTCATACAATGAAGACTATGCAATATCTTATTTTTACATTCGATTATTAAATTAAGTTTTTTTATTTAAACTACATGTTAAATAAACCTATTACCATCACAGGAATAAGTTATATTTACAAAAAATTAATTGTAATAATAATATTTAACAATATTACAGTTCTTACTATATTTTTGATCAAATAAACGCAGTCAGTGAACATTTTTTTCTATATCTTTTAGACCCAGAATTTTTACCGGTAGTGTGTATTAAGATAGTGTAAAAAAACAACAAAAAACTTTTATATAGTAATTTTTTGAGCTTGACAGTTATGGTCAATAGCGAATGCAAGTTTGTTACCAGATCCAACGAGAACATCTGGGTTGCCAAGGGTAACAGCAGCTGTGAAGTCATCGCCACGGTATTCTGCATCACATTGCCAGTTTACAAACTTGTGTTGCTGTGTCTGTAACCCATCATTTAGTCAGGCAATTAATAACAGTACACTATGCAGCACTGCTTTTCTGAACAAGTAAAAAAAAACAGCTGTAATTCAAGATTCATTAAGCCATCTAAACTTCTTAAAGCTCAATAAAGAATACAATTCTTCTCAGCAAATTATAGGAATGTTTTTTTTCACAGTAAGTCTTAAATCACATCACATGTGTTAAGCCTGGAACATACCAAGCCGGAGTAAAAAGCTGCACTTGAACACACCGAGAGAACTACTGCCGACTGTCAGCTAGAATGCGCGTTCAGCGCCTGCGTGTAAATGAGAAAACTGTCTATTTCTGCAGATATATTCGTCTATATTCGTCATTCAAAAAGGGAAACCGACGCTGCAGATACACATACCGTAAACAAAGCAGTGCGTGCTTACCGTTTTGAATATCAATCCTGCTAAACACTTTCTTTATTCCACTCCGCTCGTGTTAAAGCTGCAGTCCGTAGCTTTTTTTGGGTTAAAAATGATCCAAAATACATATGAGAAAATACATAACCAGCCAGTGTTCAAAACTCTCTGCTTGCCTTAGCTCGATTCAAAACGGTAAGCTTGTAATAATGTTTTTAATTCCAGTGGTACTGGTGGATTTCCGCAGGAGATTCGAGCATGTCTTTGCGTCATTACGTCACATCTGTACACATAAAGGAGGAGTTTCGGCTAGTATAGGCTATATTGCATGTGAGGATGCTGGAGGTGAAGATTTATAGCCTTTTCTCACAGCACTTGATTATGATTAAACATCAATTTGATGGCGGATCCAGAAAGGTTCAAATGACAATCACCAGTGACAACAGATTCACCCGCTGTAAAATGCAAAAGACTTCGTTCGGACTTCGGAGTGGCTACAGAAAAAAAAAGACTGCAACCGGACCCATGCGAAAACAAGGATACATATCGGAAGGACATTACATGTAGTCACACAATGCTGACGTTGTTAACATTAACAATTTGAGAACAAAGTATAATTTGCACCGTTTTGCATGATATGATAAGCGATATTTAGATTTAATCAGCGCGATTTACTGCAATGTCAGAACCAGAACAAAAGTGGATGTTTCTTACTTGTTCAGATGACATTTTCTGGTGAAAATTATGTTGGTCATACTTCCAAAAAGAATAATCTATGATTCTGAATGCCAGTATCGACACCGGCGCGGTGACTGACAGCAGCACACTCTCCTCAAACATTGTGTTCATCCGCCCTGTACAGTGTCGAAGTACAACTCACGTAGAGTTAACCCTTGTGCATCAATTAAAAAAAAGTTACACATAGCTACACAGAGAACAAAAATGTCCTTGTCAAAAAACTGTCATAAAAATGTGAAGCTTGGGAGCACAGACTTAAGTTTGGTATCATTTTAAAGAAGACCCTTGGTAGATTATTGCTGAAGTAAAAAAATAATAATAAGTAAATCCAAAAAAAAGTTATATAGGTATAAGTTTATGAAAATTATTTATGAAAATTATTTTACATAAAACATATATTTTATAAATCAAGTTGAACTCTAAAACGGCAAGAAAATCAAAGCCATAAATCTAAATAAGTTCCAAATTTGAGGATGATATCTCAAAAAAATGAGCTTTCGGTAAGAATTTGTTTGGGCGCAGTAACAGATTTTCCCCATTGGGTGCCAGCAAAACTCCACTGGTGTACACAGTGATTGCATTTGTTATTTGCAGTTGAGTTTTTCTCTCTCAATATTACAAACACACACATGCACACACACACATATTTTTTTATAACACACATACTAACCACACTCTGACATCCATACCAACACACCCACACAAATATCGTTGCATAATTTATCGAACTGGCTCTATAATATGCCGAAGCAGAAAACAGGAATAAAGCGATATTTGTTTTATAGGCCAAACCTGGAAAAAATGGCACCATCTGATAAAAAAATAGTAAAAATGTACATTTTGAAGCCTTGCCAACAGAATGAAAGCCTCTTAACAAAGATTGCATCATTTTATAGTTAAATGGCACTGGGATTAAAAATTGCAGTTTTAATGGGTTTCAATGGGGACATTTTTGTCCAAAAGGCGCTGAGAGGGAAGTATTTTTTGGACCTAGTGCAAAAAAGAATTTTTTAAGAAAATGGCGGTGAAATAGTAAAATTACAATAGAAATACACACCTGTGCCAAATTTTATGCAGTTAGCATTAACACAGGCAAAGTGATAAAAAAAAAAAAAAACTGAAAAAGGACAAAAATGTCCATAAGGATGCACAAGGGTTAATAATTCCGCGAATAACTGCAATTGCAGATTTCGAACAGAGATGGCGACAAAGAGGAAAAACTGCGGACTGCAGCTTTAATATTGAAATATTAGCCAAGGAACACTCAAGTAAGATGACGTAACATAAGAACAGCCTTCTATCTATACCGTTTTGACTTCTTTGCTCGCTGCTTTGCTATTATTCTCGTGCACCGACTTGTTCACTAAGCTGAACAGCCAATCAGAGTTCCCTCTTTCACCGACGGCCCGACGCCGATTCAACATGTCGAATCGGCCGAAAAAAAGACGACGAGGACCAATTTCAGCCGACGGTGTGGAACACACCGAGAAAACTTAGTCGGCCGACGCACAAAAACTGCCCAACGGCCGACCGTCGGCTTGGTGTGTTCCAGGCTTAAGATCTACTGGACCATAATTTGTTCTATTTCCTTAAAATTCTGACTGCAACTAGCAAACATGACTGCAAAGCTGTACATACCTGAATGGCCAATTTAGAGCGAACATTGTTGGTCAGCTGATGGATGATCTGTGCGTTTAGACTGCCTGTGTTGTCCATGTCACCTACCATAACTGGAAAAGACTGAGGGGGGCAGACAAAAAAAAAAAAAAGTTGAGTTGTGAACATCGCATCCTACTAATCTTTTCATTCTGAAACAATAATGGTGTAGCAAGTTGACAGAAAATCAAAAATCTAATCTCTGTCAGCCTGTTAGTTCAAATGCAACCAAGGCGCTCACCTCTGCAGGTCCTGTTTGTTTGCTGCCCACATATGTGGCACCGAATCTGTAACCCGAGTCCCCCAAGGTGCTTAGAGTAATTGTGTGACTAACCTGAGGAAGCAAATTAAGATGTTATACACACTACCAGTCAAAAGTATGGAATGATCTATTATGCTCTCAAAGGCTGCATTTATCCGATCAAAAATACAGTAAAAACAGTAATATTATGAAATATTAAAATTTAAAAGAACAGTTTTCTATTTTTATATATTTTAAAACAAATTTATTCCTGTGATGGCAAAGCTGAATTTTCAGCATCATTACTCCAGTCTTCGTGTCACATGATCCTTCAGATTAAAAGTATTAATTTCTCGTTTCCATCCATCTTACCCCACACTTTTGAATGGTAGGGCATCATGATTCCCTCAAATGTTAAGCAAAAAGAATCATGACACTGAAAACTGTAGAAATGGCTTCTGAAAATTCAGCTTTGCAGCATTTAAAAAAAGTATATATATAAAAAAATAGAGAGAGAGAGAAAAAGTTTAATTTAAATTGTTTGAATATTTCAAAACATTACTGTTTTCACTGTATTTTTGATCAAATTAATACAGCCTTGGTGAGTATAAGAGACTTCTTTCAAAAACTTTAACAATTCTTAATTATTCCAAACTTTTGGCTATGTATATATGTTGTTGTCCTTTGATCTTTCAATTCTAAGAACAAATCAATTATTCAAGAGTTTGCAAAATCCATTCACACCGTGGTGACTGACCTGGAAGTGATTACTCAAGCCCTTGTTGACAACCAGGCGTACCCCCTCCATCTGCACAGGGAAGACCTCTGAGAAGCAGACGAAAAGACTAAGTAAACAGAGCATAGATTGTGGGACCACATTAGCAATGTAAGCAAATAAGCCTTAGACAAACCTTTGCATTTGCGATGACATTCTTCAAATGTGCCGGGGTTGGGGCGAGAGGCCTCTGCATCTGTCCCGGGCTGCCCTAGTGTGCCTGAGGGTGGGACTGCAGACACTGGGGGCATAGTGAAACCTGGTGGTACCGTCACTAGACCTGCACCCCCTGGGGCACTGCCACCCCCTGAGGCCGGAGGAGGGTTTGGGGAGCTGGCAGCCAACACACTGCCCATGCTGATGGATAAGTCAACAGTATGATAACATTGAAATGACAGTTAATGTTATAACACTTTCATTAACTTCAGGAAGATCTACTTCCACTGACAACAATCATAGGGCAAAAGGTCACGTTTCTACAATCGAAAGAATACTGTCAATAAACAACATAGTTCTGCTTTTTCTAACAACTGCCAACTGAAAACCTTGATCTCTCCAGGTTTAGACAACCAGCGAGTAACGTTAGTCAGCTACGACACCCTAAATATGAACACCAATTCTGTGTGCACAGCACCGACTAGAATCTGTCTCACTAGAGAAAAGTAGTGCACTAGCATGTGTAGCTTCATTCAAGCCTCATTGGCTAAATAGCAGGTAAGCTAAGGTTAATGCTAGCTAACTAGCTAACGTTCGAAAAAAGAAAGACTGGCATATTTCTAAATGAGACGCGCGAAAGAAGCTGTATTATATGCTAGCTGGACAGTCGTTTCTATCAACACATGACGGACAAATTATAGCAAGTGTATAACTATAATTTATGTAACTATTTGCAGGCCTCGTGCTATACTCACGTTTAGCAATGCAGTCCAGTTATACGGCTGAGAGGCACCGGTAGGATGACAGACTACGTAACCGACGTCTTGGCCCGCCTATTCCGGCTATATTGATAGATCATTGGATAAAAGACACCACAACTGTCTGATGATTGGCTACTGAACATGGCTTCCTTGTGGGTAATCGGGGAAGGAAATATGACGGTGGCGTGTATTTCTAAAGTTACACTTCAAGGGTATGAGGGGCTGTACATTTGCATTTTATTCATGCATGGTTTTTGTTGTAAACATTGATATTAAAAATAGACGACAGGATGGTATTTACTATAAAGCAAGTGTAGAGTGATTGAGTGGTGTCATAGGATTCTCTTTATTATCTTTAAACTGTCATTCAGATTTTAAACAGTTTACATTACAAATAAATACAGTTTTGAATATATTATTATTATTATTATTTTATTTTAATGAATGTTTATTTTATATAAAGTAATGAAAATGTTTTTTATATGGTTTTTAGATATCCCTGATTTAAGTTTCCACCTGGACAAATCATAAGAATTGTGAGAAAATAAATATGTTATATTACAACTATATTCATCATGAATTAAATCGTATTTTTATGTTTTATCCTCAAAAGTGTTCTAGTGGTACTTAATTAAATTTAAACATTGAGAATGTTCCTCCTTCATACATTCAAATACATTTACATTAAAATATTTTAATCATGAAAGTTCATTTCTCTACAATGAAAGACTAATAAATCATGCACAGAAACCAAAGCTTTGCCTGTAATATTGTTTTTGACTCCAAGATTTCTAGCTCTATTAACTATTGTTCTTACTTCTCACTTTTCTAAAACTTGCCTTGTTTGGTTGTTCAGTTTGTTGGTATTGTGTGGGCTGAGCCATGTGTCTTTTTCCATCATGTTCATAGTGGTTCTAAACGTTTTATAACGTTAATCTCAAGCTTCACTGAACAAGATATAAATTTAAGCGTGTATGTAGTATAACGTTTTTTTATTTGTGACTCTAAAAACAATTTCAACATTATAGGAAAATGCTTGTGTGAAAAACTGGCTTGTTTACCTTATTTTAAATAATCCATGTAGATTTAAAAGAAATGTGATAGCATGCAGCCATTTATACAAGCGAGCTGTGAATTTATCTGGTGGTGGTGAGATTCGAGGCACAAAATAGAAAATAGCTTATAAACACATCAACCTAAAACAAGGTTGAAAAAACATGGAAATTATAGGAAACAAGAGTTCAAGCATACTTGCCTATTCTATAAAAATAATTAATAAGCATATTTATTCATTACCAATACCAATTATGTCACTCATATGACAAAATTATAGGTTTTTTTATTTTATTTTAAGGTATTTAGAAAAGAATACAAACATCTGGAGAATATGCTGGACTTTATTTTGTTTAAAAGAGAAGGGACAGAATAGGCTGGCATTGACATTTGGAGCAAAAAGCTTTGGCCATTCTCCCATACAATCCTCGCAGTAAAACATACATCTACTTAATACAACACATGGCAGAGAGCACAATTCAACACGTACAACAGGGGACAAAAGTGTACACTTCAAGAGCTACCAACTTTATTACAGCTGCCATTTCATCTCAGCATGTGTGCTGATATGTTGTAAAATACATTACTTAGATTATTTCTGTGCATTGGACACCATTGGGGACAGGCTGAATCTGATCAATCACATTACATCGTTTCAATGAAATAAAACTTGACTGTTTCATCGGGGGAAAATTAACAACCTAAACTGTCTGCCAGTTTTCAAAAAAATGCAGGCTGAACTGTTGAAATTAAAGTCCTGCCTTACCAAACATCTGAGCTGGGATACCTGGTTGTCAGACACAAGCAAATCTATTGCTCACCCAGCCAATGCTGAGGTAGGTACTGTTCACTACCAACAAACCGGAGGGTCAAATAGAGAACAAGTGATTTATGGGTTTGAGGTATAAGACGAGTCTAAATCTAGCTGGTAACAATTTCTTCCACTAACAATCATGACCAAAGCAGATTTTTTTTTTGCACTGCACACCTAGAGCGCTCCCTCCTACCCAGAGGAAGTATATAGATTAAGGCACTTAGAGAGATAGAGATGGCTGAAGTCAGAGTGAAAATGCAGAGGATGAATAAAAAATAAAATAAAAAGTGATGGATGCTTTCAAACGCTTTTGGGAAAGAGGACACGGTGATGAGACAAGTTAGCCAAAGAAAAAGTCTGTTTGCATTTGAAAGCACAAGCCTCTCTCAAGATATTTACACACACAAGGCTGTAAACAACTAACAGAAGACCATTATGAACGTGTTAAACCTCCCTAGTTTTCCCTGATCAACTGTAAAGCTCCGAGTAAAACTCATCATATAATGCGCAAAAACCTTTCACATTAGGCGATGGATAGATAGCACTAAACATACTCCTAGTAAAGCTTGGGAATTTGTTTTTGGCACCAACTCCTTCCAGTATTTTCTATTTTTATTGTTCTGGTAAATAAAAGAGGGGGCAAAATCCTTATGAACAGCAGTTATGGATAGTAAATGGTCTTTGCCAATGCTCTGGATCCAAAGAACAGTGGCTTATTGTGCTTCAAATGGAAAAAGGGTAAGCTGCCTTAGTGAGTCCATAGAGAACAACCCTAATGACTTTATACGTGCCCCCTAAACTTGTGGCAGCTGATCACATTTTACCATGGCAGTTCCAGACCACTGAAGCATTTGGTGAGAAAATAAACTACAACAAAAAACGAAAGTCATCTTTGCGTCTGTCTTCAGTAGAAATTGTGCAGAATGCCAAGCATTGGTCCCTTTATTCTCCTGAAAGAAAGGGAGATATTGGTACATTACAACTGAATAGTCACGTCTGTATAAACAAGTTGAAGTGCAAGTCAGATCAGGTCATTCAGAACATGGTCTTCTTACCAGTAAGGGTTAATTAAGCTCGCCTGCTTTGTGAGCAGCCTCCTCCTCATCAGGGTTCAGGGAGTGAAACTCTGCCACATACAGGCTCTTATCAATGCTGCTGGGTATGGGCTTTATGTCAGTCATCAGCTGGTCCTCAATGCCCTTTAGATTGAAACGGTCTTCTGAGGTGATCAGGTTAATGGCCAGACCCAGGTGACCGTACCTACCTGAGATCAGAGAGAGAAAACTCAATTCAATTAACAAACAGATTGAAAAAACACAAATGATAAATGGAAACCCTACAATAATAATCAGTTAACTTTGATGATGTTGATGGTTACCTGATCGACCAATACGGTGCAAGTACGTCTCTGCATTTTTGGGGAAGTCAAAGTTGATGACTACATTGACAGCCTGGATGTCAATTCCTCTTGTGAAAAGATCTGTGACAAGTAAAACACCACCAAAAAGGTTTCAGAAACATTTAGGAAAATCCCTTAAAAACAGGAAGAGTTCTGCGAATGTGGCTATCCATACCTGTGCAGACCAGGTTTCTACACAGTCCGTTTCTGAAGTCATGGAACACACGATTTCTGTATTCCTGTGATAATATAAAATAATTTAGGTAAACACAAAAACATACACTACTTTTCGAAAGTTTGGAGTCTGTACGATTGTTTTTGAAAGAAGTTCCTTATGCTCAGCATGATCAAATCATTTTTTTTTAAATATTTCAAATTAAAATAAAGTTTTTAATTTATTTTATATTGTAATTTTAAAAATATTACTCCATTATTCTAGTCTTCAGTGTCACATGATAGATTCTAATATGCCAATTTTGTGCTCAAGAAACTTTTCTTAATATCATTGTTGAAATCTGTTTGTATTTGCTTAGTATTTTTGTGGAAACCATGATACATTTTTTTTCAGGGATAGAAAGTTCAAAAGAACATTTCATTTGAAATTTAAAATCTTTTTAACAATGCATTTACTGTCACTATCATTTCAATGCATCCTTATTGAAAAAAGTCATTCTTAACAACTTTTGAATTATGTAGCTGCCTTCTGAAGCTGACCTGCATCATCTTGGCATGGATGTAAAAGCAAGAATAGCCAAGCTGTGTGATCTTCTTGGCAAGGAGTTCCACCCTTTGAGTGGAGTTACAGAAGATGATAGACTGGTTGATTTGGAGCTAGGAAAAAGTGATATCAAATAAATACAATTAAAAGAGAGAAAATTAAATGACTTTTTCCCTAGGTTAGTGCAAATCATTCAAAAAGGCTTTAAGATAATACAGTTACTCAACTGTAGTATGAAAGCTTTGGAGTAATACAAATGGAAAATTTGCAAAATACCAGTTGAATCTAGAGCAGATGTTGGAGGGAATGTCCGCTTACCCTTGAGAACAGTGTGTTGAGACAGTGCACTTTCTGTCTTTCTGTCACATAGGCATAGTACTGAGTGATGCCTTTCAGTGTCAGCTCATCCATCAGATTGATTTCATATGGCTTCTGAAGGTGTTTGGACTACACAACGGGACAGAGTCATTAGCATGATTAAAGCAAATGTATATGAGACATAATCTGGATATAGTCAAATGTTTTACACATTAAATCCAAGACATTCAGCATCAAAAAGTCTAGGACGATTATAAAAACAGTATCTCTCACCATAAATTTCTGCACACTGGTGGGGAAAGTGGCAGAATAGAGAAGAATCTGACGATTTTTGGGCAGGAAGCTGATGATGTCTTCAATAAGCACCACGAAGTCTTGAGAAAGCAACTTATCAGCCTGTGAAGAACGAATCGGATATTATGAACTTCCATCATATTAGCATTCCTTTAGAGAGGATGCTTAGTTGGAAATTAACTATTTTTTGCATTATTTGTCTCACCTCATCCATCACAACCATCTGAGCTTTGTCAACCTTGGCTACACCTTTCTTTATCAAGTCAAGGATTCTTCCTGGGGTAGCTATTATAACATGTACTAGAGAGAAAATATATTAAGGTTAACAGAAGGAGAAAGAGGGATTGCATTAAAATCCTTTTAAATACATTTTTTTTTTAAACTGCCACAATGACTTGGCCCCATATGTGGTTTGGGGCTCATTTAGTATGTCTCCCTTATTTAACACACCTGATTCAGATCATCAGTTCATTAGGAAAGAGATCCATGAACTGAACTGAGTTCAGTGTAAGATAACGGAGACATACAAAATGTGTAGAGCGGTGGGTGACCAGGATTGAATAGCACATTATAAAAGGGGTGTCTAATCCTTCTACTTGAGGCCCAGTGCCCGGTTGCATAAAGCACCTTAAGTTTTTCCCTTAAGTATGATACTTAAGGGGCGATTTACCCTTACCTAAGAGAACAACTTAAGGGTGTTGCATATAATCTCTTAAACGGTTCTCTTAGGTAAGGGAAACATTGAAGTGTTTCACGCCAGCGATCCTGGATTCACGTTATAAAAGTCTGTTGTTGCCATAGATACGCAAAACACTAACATGTCGGAATATCACGTGTCAGTCCAGTGACACTATCACGCAACACCGCGTTAGCTCCGAACGTGACGGCAGTTTGTGTTGTTCACCGTCTCATGCTTTGGCATTTGTTTAGGTTTTGTGAATGCACTTCTGGCTCTGTGTCTCGAAATACAGCTGAGTATATTTCCATAGCATACCTGTTTTCTTCTGTCATGATTCCTTTTAAAACACAGAATCAGCTCGTTCTCCTGTGAATTTTTTGTCGGCCACACACTCTCCGTGCGCGCACTGACTTAACGTTGTGATAGTTTACATGCGAGTCGCGTGTAATGACAGACAGACAGCCGTCTAGTTTGATAGCGATGTCAAATATTGCGCGTCGATCAAATCGGTATTCTTGCAACAATTTTTCATGGCTAAATTGGTCCAAAGGGTTCTCCCTATTCCCTATGATCTTCAGCTGGTTTCATAAATTCAGCCATGTCGTCTTATTTTTGTCCGCGTTACTCTTAAGGTTACGATTTCCAAACCTTAAGTTATACTTAGGGAAATTACCGTTAAGGGGTTTTATGCAACACTTAACGATTACTTAAGTGAAAAAAACAGCATTTAAGGGAAATTCTAAGTGTTTATGACGTTTCACTTAAAAAAACCGTTAAGTAACAATTAAGGGTATTTTTCTGCAACACCCTTAGGTTTAAGGGAAACATAAGGTCGACTTTAAGGGAAAATTACACTTAAGGTGCTTTATGCAACCGGGCACAGTATCCTGCAGATTTTAGGTCCAATTTAATTAAACACACCTAAACCAACTAATCAAAGGATGTTTCTCAATTCCTAGAACAGACTTGCATCCTTGTGAGAATTGAGATGTGCTGCGATCTTATTGCTCAACTGACCGTCCCAGCATGACAGACATAGCGGCCAATGCACGATAAATACAACCGAACATTACAAACAAATAACCTACGACAAGATTTCATATAGACATTAATTTAAGTTTTATTTTACCACGTGTATTTGTGAAAATGAGTATGTAAGTTTAATGTTATGCTTTGTCAATGTTCAGATTCTTTTTATTATGCCAATAAAAATACTGCTGGCTTTCTCCAGGTCTTTATCACTATTAAAATTAAGCAACAAAAAAAAGAAGAGACAAATATTTACTTCACAGTATTTGCGATCTTGCAGCGGGAACGAGAAGTTTAAAGCTTACAGGCTTCCGTACATACATCAACGGTTCGATTCTCTTAAGTCTGCATTGGATGCTTCCTCGATATGAAGAACAAATCCAGATACTTCCATGCATCCTCTTGTATTTGCATTCTTGAGTACTGGAATTGAACTTGGCGATTGATGACGTAGTACGAGAACACAAGATCGCTTAAGGCGGCACATTGAGAAATGGCCACGGTCTTCAGTAACCTACAAGCAAATGCGTGTGGAGGCAGAGGTTGGAGCTAAACTGCAGGATATTGACCTTCCGGGAGCAGGATTGGACAACCCTGCATTATAACGAAGTGCATATAATTATGATGAGACTCCTTATGAAACATCATTACTCTTTAAGGAACAAGGAAGCACAACTTAATTGCTCAAATGTCTGTGGTCTGGCAAGACTTCAGAAAAACAGTTGGTAGGCGTGACATCCCGACAAAACAAGTCATTTCGAGTGGAACGCTGCCTTTGGGCAAATTTCCAGCTCAAATTGAAGAACTCACTGAACTTTAATGCTCAATGAAGAATTAACCCCAAGATTGCCAGCCAGGCTGCCATTTGTAAGTGTTAATGTAAAGGTTTTTTTTCTTTTTTTACTTAAATTTTATAACCCTTTCTTTAATTCTCAAATCACAAGCATTTCAAAACTTGGGAAACTCAAAGGATGGAAGAGAAATCCAATTACCAAGCATTTCAAAACTTGGGAAACTCAAAGGATGGAAGAGAAATCCAATTACCAGTCTCATCAAGACGCATGATGTCATCCCTCAGGTTGGTGCCACCAGTTGTAGCCATAACCTTGACGCCACCAAGGTGCTTGCTCATGTTGATACTTATCTGGCTCACCTGCAAAGCCAACTCACGAGTTGGTACCATTACCAAGGCTAAAATAAAGTTATAAAAAGAAAGAAAAACACATTTAAATACACACACACGAGTTTATAAATGTATTGTATATATACAAAACTTTGAGGTCAGCAAGATTCTTTTGCAAGTATGGATTAAATTGATCAATTTACAGTTATAGACTTTTACATGGCAACAAAAATGCAGTTCATTTTAAACTGCTCATCAAACATTCCTAAAAGAAAGAAAAAAAGTATCAAGGTTTCCATAAAAATATTAGGCAGCACAACTGTTGATAAAAAAATGTTACTTGAGCAGCAAATCACCATATAAGAATGATTTCTTAAAGGATTAGTTCACCTCAAAATGAAAATTTCCTAATAATTTACTCACCCCAATGCCATCCAAGATATCCATGTCTTTCTTTCCTCGGTGGAAGAGAAAATAAGTTTGAGGAAAACATTTCTGGATTTTTCTTCGAATAATGGACTTCAATGGCAACCAACGTTTTGAAGTCCAAATCAATGTAGTTTCAAAGGTCTTTGAAGTGCTTCAACAGGCTGTGCACGATCGCAGCTGAGGAAGAGGGTCTTATCTAGCGAAACGATAGGTCATTTAAAAAAATATATATATATAAACACTTTTTAACAACAATTGTACAGATTGAGCTGATCTGCAACACGCCGGGAACTACGTCATCACGTTGAAAGGTCACGCACTTCAAAGACCTTTGAAACTGCATTGATTTGGACTTCAAAACGTTGGTTGCCATTTAAGTCCATTATTCGAAGAAAAATCCAGAAATGTTTTCCTCAAAAAACTTTTCTCTTCCACTGAGGAAAGAAAGACATGGATATCTTGGATAGCATTGGGGTAATTTTGAGGTGAACTAATCCTTTAAGGATCATGTGACACTGAAGACTGGAGTAATGATGCTGAAAATTCAGCTTTACCATCACCGGAATAAAATTACATTTAAAAATACATTAAAATATTTTAACTTGCAATAATATTATTTCACAATTTTAATCAAATAAATAGAGGCTTTGTGAGCATAAGAGACATCTTACCAACCCCAAACTTTTGATGGGTAGTATATGTAATTAATGTATAGAATTTTATAAATAATTCATTAAATGCATGTCAAACCTTGAACATGGTCCTTCTTCAGATCAATCCTTTCCAAGAGGGGGATGAGGTAGGCTCCACTTTTACCTGTGCCATTTTTAGCTCGAGCGAGAATGTCCCTCCCTGACAAGACAATGGGAATACTCTCCTCCTACACAGACAGACAATGAGGGATATAAATATCAGGACAGGCTCATTTGACAACCATTCTAAAAGGCATAAGCCAAGCAAATAGACCACAGTTTAATTTCTAACTGTACACAGGTTAGACTACCTGGATAGGGGAAGGCTTCTCCCAGCCCATTTCGAATATACCCATCAGCAGTTCCCTCTTAAGGCAGTAATCTTCAAACTCGTTCCCCTTTGTTGCAGTCACATCCTGTCAAAAAATAGGACATACAAATAAAAAAACTGGGAAACCAGCAACCCATTTTAATATAACCATAAGAAACTGGTTTCATTACTTACTGTGGTTCGCACTCTCATGTCTTTCGGTGGAAGTTGCAGGCACTTCTTCCAGTCATCTCCAAACCTAAAAGAAATCGTTCACAAAATGAATTCGACTTTATACATTATACAAGATTTAATTATTTTATTCATAAACAGCTCAACTAACATGATTAATATGAGGTATCAATGTCAAAAGGTACCAGACTCTTCAAATAGTATTAAATAAACACTACCTGATACCGCCGCTGCTTCGGGGTATACTGCTTCCTTTCTGGAGCATCACAGGTATTTTTCCTGACTGTGTTGAGGAAGTAAGCGATCCTGACTGAAGGGTCATAGGCTTGGACTGTCCATTCTGTTTGGTCAGTTGCATGACTGAAGCAGGGATCTCTGTTCTCGCTGTAGCCATTGTCAGATGTTTTCCTCAACGGTTTCAATCAAATTTATCTTTATGTGTGGGTTTTTTGTGCTACTTTTGAGCTATTTGTTCAACTGTTTTACTGTTAAGCTCAATGCGCTTTTGTGTAAACAGTTTCCGGTACGTACAGACCTCTTAAAAAGAAGAGTGTCTGGCGTATAACAATTATTAATAATAAGCTCTCCCAAAATAGGAGAAAATTATATTTATATGAATAAATATATCACAAGCCTAGCGTCAATGTACAAAACAACTAGCAAACAAGTACTTGTAAAATTCAAGTCTTGCACAAGGATTTCAAAAATGCAAGTAAACAAAAATCTATTAATGCCTTTCAAAAGTCACTTTTACGTTATCCCTGAAAAGTGACAAAGTTTTCACTTTTAATTCTTTTTTTTCTTTCTTTTTTAATAAGCTGGATTGCAGAAATCCTGAAGTACCCTCTGTTTTCCTTTTGGTATCCAAAAAGTATAAAGTATTTACATTCAAAAGCACGAGGCTCAGCTAAGGGTTCTTAATGTGCTCTTAAAATTCTATATTCTCTTCGTCACGAGGAATTTCAAATTTTGCTCAGTGTCACTTGCTCGTATTTAACCTGCTGAAAAACTCCAACGATTTCAAACTGAAAGTCAATGCAGGACTACGAGTCCAAAATTAAGTTAACAGTTCATAAATGTTTCCACTCTTGGCTTCGCGATGTCTCGTTTCTCCTCACTTTACTGTCACAGTTCCTGAACACTTTAGTGGAGGAAATCCTGGAACACCTGCCAAATATGAAAGTTATAAAACAAAATTAGCTTCATATCAATGACAGGCTATTTCGGACATCAGGCAAAGGGTTAGTTTCTCAGTTTATCTTTAAATACACATGGACAGTTGTGTTCAAATCATATTAAAAAGAACCGAGCATATATAGTACGTTATAGTTCTGCGACAATAATACCTCACTTTCAATACACAAACTTGCTAACAAGACACCCGCGTTTAGCTATGTTAACAGTTTCAAACACTTGTTAAAAGTGTATAAACGCCTGGAATTCGTATGACCATTCGGATTAATAACACATCTATTTCAATTTGAATCTGATTTAAGATCCTTCACTAATTAGCTAAAGGTTTAACGCTAAGCTCTGCAGCTAAAAGTGTGTGCGAGCGTCAGGAGTTGTTAGCGGAGCTAACTGAGCTAGCCGACAAGCACCACAAAGGTGGTGTATCGACAAAGTTTTTTTAATTTCCGATTCAACGAAAGAGTTCGCGAATATAGTTCAGATCATTATATAAGAACAACTCAGCGCAAAACGTTTTTTTCTTTCTGGGAAAAAGAGTGAACTTTGTTTCCTGAGTTGAGAGATTGGTTAACTATATTTAAAACATACTATTAAACAGCATGCTAGCTCAACCTGCCAGCGGTACATTGTTAAGACAGGATAGCTTAGCTAAATGCTAATAAGAGCGCAAGAGAGAGACGCTGTGCACGTTGGGAAAGATAGATGTCTATTTTAACTAAATTCATGTTTGACTATGTTTACCTCCTAAATTTGAAGGAGTTGAATCTTCGTGGATATGATTAATTCTTCGATTGTTTCTTGAGAAATTCTTTGTTGCTGTGGCTTTTGTCTCTTCCGTCTAGAGATTTAACATGGCCGTGCGCTGAATTGATCTCGGAGTACGTAAACGCATCGAAAAAGCGACGTCGACCAATCAGGTGACCGAGTTTGAATTTGGTGGGCGCTACCGTAATCAAATCCACCCACGTACTTCGGGCACTTTAGTGCCTGTGGATTTTCAGAAACATTTATCACACATAAAATCATCACCAACCACAACTTTTATATTTCATATCAAGCATGCCCATAATATTTTGTTGTGGTGATAATGTTTCGTCATGTATGAAAAATTATCACATTAACATGATTATTAACATAAATAATAAATATTGACGATGTATATTTAGATCATTAGTTTTAAACATGAAATAATGTATTTTTATGATAACATTGAAAGCCTATGTCTGGACAAAAGGTGAATAAATAAATACATCTATACATAAAAAATAATTTGAAAAGTAGAAAAATTATAAAGGCATGGAAAAAGTAAACTTATAACAAAAAGAAAAGCATTGAATTTGTTGTTGATGTTTGAAGAAATCATGTCAGCTACTGTATTATACAAATATTAGTCATGAAATGCATAGATATGTATAAAAATATGTATTTTTTATTCAAAGTAAACTAGGTTACTTTATATTGCTGCACTTATATTCACACATTCATATGAAAATCAAAATTTGTACATTACTGTCAGGAATATCACAATTAAGTACCTTTTTTGAAATTCATATCAAAGCCCATGTCTGTATCATGTTAATCACAGTTTCTAAAGATTCTGGCAATGGTTTTAACTCTCCTGTTACCACAGTTACATTTTTTCCACACTGGCTTTCTACAAGATTATACATTTTAAGCCAGTGAGTCAAAACTCATAATTTGTCACATAACTTCCTCAGACAGAGATTTCAAGCTGCCATTCAAAGATTTGAACTAAAATAAAATTGGCACGAGTAACAATTTTGGTGTAATCAACAGGCACATAAATAATATAACTGCAAAAAAAATCTCAATCTCAAAATGCTTTCTTTGACAATAGTTGACAATGTTCATTGTAGATAAAAATTATCCTGAGCTCTATATGCATTGTACTTGGTTGATATTGGCTGTCATGTGTGTACCCTAATGATACTCTTTTGAGGGCCTCACTGTGTGAAATACAATTTTTGACAATTACATTTTTTGTAAACATGAATGCGATTAGAGATTTTCTGTCATACGAATTTGGGTAACTTAATTCTGGAAAATCAAAATGCTGTCAATAAATATACAGACGCCACAGTAAAAAACACAAAAAAAACACCAACGAAACCGGGAAAAAAGAAAAGATCAGGTTCTTGCTATAGAAGTATAAATATCATAGCTCTTTAAAATACATGACAAAATAATCCATAATCATTTCAATTACATAGCAAAACACTTGGTAACACAAATATACAGTAATGTTCTTGATTTAGCAAAACTTCATAACATCAGCATCAAAAATTTGAAAAGATTAAAAAAATTTTTTAGATACATATACATGCTATAAATCAGTCAGTATGTTGTCCAACCACAAATAATATTCAAACACCACTTATAAAGGAATCAGTTCACCCAAAAGTCATCATTTACTCATGCTGGAACCTTACTAATTGAAGTCTATGGTCACCAAAGCCATTTAGTTACAACATGTTCAAACAGGATTTTCATTTTTGGGTGAACTATCCCTTTAAGAGGGCCAGCTGTTTAAATATCTAGCAGCTATCAACTCACACCTCTTTCTTCACTGTTTACACTCACAGTAGACATGTCTGATTGGTCACTGCTGCGACTGGATGGCCGTGATTGGTTACCAGCACCCTGTGAGGGAGAGCCATATGGGATTATTGGCACAGGGATACTGGGGAGTAAGATTATCTGTGTATCTGAGTAATATGGAGGTCTTTGAATACCAGGGGGATAGTAAAGAGGGGAAGCGATTAGAGTCCTTCTCTGGATGTGAGAGACAGGCGGCTTAATTTGGTCGTACCCAGACGGTGACAGATACGGGAAAGGATGGAGTCCCATTCCGTAGCCTGCCCTGTTGTCTACTGCTATATTATGGTGTGTCCGAGGCAACATTTGCAGAAGGGTTTTTTCATTGCTGTTCATCGGTGATTGATGTTCTGAAATGCTCTCTGCTGACTGACTTCGTGGTAAATTTGGAGTCACAGGAGAATGCGATGTACTGCGCTGAAAAGTGGGAGTCATCCGGGGAGAATGGTTGGAGCTGCCAGGGGACAGAGAGCCTAAACAGGGGAAAAAAATGACTAAAAACTTTAAATGGTCTACTTGAGGTGTTTAGAGATAATTTCACTCTTGTAATTTCAGAGAGACTCTTACCATTACCGCTAGGTAACGTTTTCCCATTGCAGGTGCGAGTGCCCCTCCCACGCAGCACATCAGACACCTTAAGACAAAAACACATAAATACTTGTTTAGATGAGTTACAGAAGTTATGGTGACACACATGGATAGATTATGGGGCCAATTTTGTTGTTTTGTAAACTTCAGGGACCTTTAACTTGAGAAGCCTGGAGTGGACTGACACAGGAAATAAGGCTTTGCTAATGTAGCACCGAAATTGACGGATGAATAGAGCTTGAATGTGTGACAAAGTGAAGTAAATATCTGATATTCATCCCAAATACTTTTTAGTATTATAAACTTCGAAGTACTAGAATTGTTGTTCTTCAACTGAAGCATCGCTTTCAGGTTTTAAAATCCCCCTGTGGTGATAATCATGTTTCTAAATATTGTTTATATGTCTATGTGGCGTTTTTAATATGCTTTAATATGACAAACCATGTCAAGTCAACAACATTGCTGAGTATTTTCTCTTTAAAACTGCAGTGATCTAAAGACAGTCTGAAAAACACGGTTTGAAATCGCTGGCGTTTCTGACATCACAAACTACCTTGTAACCAATCACATCAATGTGCAGGCGAGCTTTAGCATATCATTAACTGCTGCGAAGCAAGGGAGTCTCAAGGGAAGCCAGGTTATCCCGGTATATTTTTCTGTTGAAATGAAAAATCGTGTACATTTGGCAATATAGCGGGTTAATTAGATATTTGATGTATATTACAATGTTATTATCAACTATATACACCTTTCTCCACTGACGTTCTGAGTTGTTCAAAGCGTTTCTAAGGATGCTGATTTTTAGAAGGCTGACTAAGGGTGGGGAACGGCAAAGTGAACATGGTTTGTGTAACATTAGCAACAAATTATTAGCTATACAACACATTATTAGCTATACTATACAACATAGTCAAACAAAAGGCTAATTAGCAAACCAATGGATCCACGTATACTAAACAAAGCAAGGGCGTTACATTCAAACGATTTTAAGGCATGAAGTTGGGGTTGTTGTTTTTTTCACAGGACAAAAAAAAGTTTAAATATGTAATTTTGGTGATCAAAGATGAGTTTTAAGGGATACAACTATTGACTACAGGGCGACTTTATAATGTTTTAATTATGAGAAATAGATTTAAAATCCTGAGATTTTAAATCACAAATGAAATCACTAGTTTTAATATGAAATGTTATTTTGTTTATTTTTCTATTAGAAGAAATGGTGTACAACAATAATGTATCTTTGGTGACCAGTGTTGGGGAAGTTACTTTTAAAAAGTAGTGTAACTCGTTACTTCTTTAAAAAAGTAATCCGTTACTTTACTTAGTAACTCCATTATGGAAAGTAACTTTTTACGGTACTCGTTACTTTTACGTTACTTTTATGTTGCTTGACTTTGGGCAGAACCCAATATCTGTTCCTAAATGTGTAGGCCTACATAAAGTTCTACTATGCATAATGCCATATATAATGCCATAAATGCATAATGCATTTATCAGAATTTTGAATATTTAAGAAGAAATGCCCGTTAATGGATAGGCATATGCATGGGCGGCGCTAGGGAGGGGCTAGAAAGAAAGCCCCCAAGAAAGACCAAAGCACCCCGTTAGCACCCCCAAAAATTATTTCTGGAAGCAATTATATTCAGGCTGTATTCTATGGAAGTCCTGAACCGCATGGTGAAGAAAAGGGGACATTCTAATCTGCATTAAGCCAAATTAAGCGTTCTTATAATGGTTTTCTATGGGAGGAAAATGCTTAACGTGTAATTAAACATAATTAAAGTTCATATTCTGGGCTCATCTGATTTTTTTGTACATAGTATAGCCTACTTTATTATGATTTTAGTATCATAATGATTAATAAATGCACGCACAATTATCCGTGAACTTGATAAATGTTGCAGATATGTTTTACTATGCACGTAAACAAATGCCTTTCAACTTACTGTATGTGTGCAAAATTCAGAATTAAATTAATGTGCAGCAATTTGTACAAATAGAGAGTCTAGGCCTACTATATTTAGTTTCATATTTGTTAAAATATTATAATGTTATTTTTTTTTTCCATCTATGTTGATTATAAAAAGTAAACAGCAGGAGTATATGTGCAATATATCGGGAGACATGAAGTGGGTCAGACATGATTTTGACCACTTCATTAAGTTTTGTTTTGAAGAAAGCCTTTCTTTAAAGAGAATTTCGTTTTGTATAAATTGTATCTTAATTTTAATCAGTTTTTTTATCAACCAATTGCCTGGAATTAATAAATAAGGAGCAAATATAGCAGACAATATAATCATGACATGGAGGTGCCGGCGCGGTCACTTGTTGCGCGTGAACTGGAGCGCACTTCATCATAAATTAACCGAAACTCAGCATATGCCTCACAGACATGATAAATATAACTATATTTAGAAAGCTTGAAATGTCTTTAAATGAAACTTTTAAATTACTTTGTATATAATCTGAATATAACGCGTATATAATATGTATATAATTTGTATATAACACACAACACTGTTGGTGACACGTCTGACTGGCAATTAAGGTGTATGGTTAATATGCAATACAACTGAGCAATGTAAGTTTTGTGAATCTCCACTTGTTGGCAGTGTTCATGTACTATATATATATTCTACTGACTTTATTAACTATAATGAAAGACTTGGTTACTTTCTCTAATTTATTTCTAAATATGATGTTGATAAATAGAAAAAAATCACTTTATTTTGTAAATAAATACATAACTAGGCAAGACTAATAAATATACAGTACATGTTTTCAAATACACTACTTCCATTCTTTCAGTTCTTACCTTTTTGTTTTTTGCTACCATGATGGCGGTGTCATTGTGGTTGTTTTTAAGACTACTGTCAGCTCCATTCTTCAGCAAGACCCTGACAATCTCTATCTGACCTCTGCCACAGGCGCTGTGTAAGGCTGTGTTCCCACTATAAGACTGTGCGTTCACATCACACCCACTCTGAATGACACAGCACACAGAAAAAAACATTGGAAACACTAATAACTGCTTCTCATCCACTCTCATACAAACACTGAGTAATAATGATTAATAGTTAAAGATTTCAGTCTCATAGTTATACATGTTCTTTCCTGTGCTCACCAATAGAGAAGTATACAAGATAAAAATGAAAGGAACAGACAAAAGTGATGATCAAGAAAATGATCGGCTGAATAGCTGACTCATTGGATTTGACATCACATGTGAAGTGTGAAAAAAACTCAACAGAAAAAAAGATATGCACACACACACCTCGATCAGCAAGATGACCATGTCAATAGAGTTGTTTTCTACAGCATGAATCAGTGCACTGCGACCGCTTTTATTATCCTGTGTTAAAAGAGAATAAGAGACATAATAAACAATTGAACCATAGAGATCATAATACACAACTAATTGCAACGATACTGCAGGGATAGTATCACATCTGAAAGCATAAAGATAGTGGATATGACAACAAATTCACTGACCCCAGCGTTGATTTCAGCTCCGCTCTCCAATGTGAGTCTTGTCAATGTTTTATCTCCTTTCTGCACAGCCAGGTGGAGGGGTGTCAGACCTTAAATGAAACAACAAAATATTCATGCAGTAATCTGAATGACCCACTGAAGCGAGTTTCGGCATGTTTCAACAATACACAAACAAAACACTAAAACTCTGTGTTTCTAGGGACTTTTCGAATCGTGACAGCAACAGGAAATGTCTCATCTTACATTTATTACACATGAATGAAGCCAATATCAACTGCAAGTACTGTTTAGGACAAATGATAATATTCTGAAACTGTGAAAACAAAATAAGATAAAACACTCTGAAATAAAATAAAAGAATATTAACGGTTAGTTCAGCATACTTAAATTACAGTTTTCTTTAGTAGTACAGAAGTGGTTATCTGTTACAAGAGGGAATTATTGTGTCAGAATCCACAAATAAAGCTAGATGGCGATATACTTCCCTCCTTCCCGATGAGCAAAAATTTTCCAAAACATAATCATACATTCATGCATGAAAATCCATGACAAGCAGCTCTTTTTCTGTCTGCCCCCCAGTGGAACAAAAATAAGTTCGGCCTTCTGAAGATGGCATGTATAATTTTCCAAAAGTGTTGGATTATGAAACAAACAGGATAAATGTTCATTTCCAGTTATGTATTTGCTTATATTGCTGTACTAAACAGGACCATATAGTTAAGAGAGCTGTAGTGTCAGCACATCCATTCAAGTGGTGCTCACTGCAGAGCCAAATGGGTGGATCTTGAGCTCCACCCCTGTGGATTTAAGGCGTGAAGCTTAGCCTTATTATGAAATAACATTTCCCTATTGTGCTACAAAAAATATATGTATGTAATTCAATAAATATACCATTCTAGATGTAGGTCCAGCACTCACCCTCATAGTTCCTGATCTCCAGGTGGGGCAAAGGGTTTTGGGGGTAGTGTCTGAGGATGACAGAGAGGCAGTCTACATCTGTGTGCTCACAGCACAAGTGCAGCGCTGTCTGTCCATTACGGTCCAGAGCTCCAGGGTCAGATCCTGCATCCAGGAAAGCTTTCACCAGAAAAGGCTGATGGGTGATTACAGCCAAGTGCAATGGTGTCTGACAGAGTGAGAGAGAGAGAGAGAGAGAGGGGGGGTGTTAATTAATCAGTTAATCAGTTAATCAAATCCACAGTATATTTAAGGGCCAGTTATATTTAGACCACATGACCAAAACTCTCACAACTCTTATTGCATGTCAATATTTAAGCTGTGTATCAAAAAAAATCTACTACTCTGATGTCTGATAAGGTGTTCAGTTTTATTTGGACTAATAGGTTGAGTCACATCCTGGTGTGGATTCCTGTAACCGTAGCTGCTAACCTGGAACTTGTCTAACAGGTTAAAGGTCAGTTCCACAGATCTAATGAGATAAAACTGGGTTAACGCCCCTTTGTAAACAGCTATGCGATGACTTATCTAACACACAAACTACTACTACGAGCGTAACCATTTTACTTTTTTTGTGGGGGGGGGGGGTAAAGAACAAGTAAAGCAGTAAAAGAACAAAAATTGACTGTAAAGTAATCCATTTGAACTATTTGTGAATAATATTTTGGTTTAAATATGCACATATTCACTCTTTATAGCATTACAAATATGCTACAAGTAAATTTGTAATGTGTCTTTTCACTTCAGTTATGGAATGCATGAATCTCGTAAATGATTGCCTATATTTTCATATAGTAGTTTGCATCGCTGGATATTACTGTCAGTCATTTCTATTGCATTTCTATTGCAAAACAATTGTAATTCGTGCTTATCTTCTGTGATTAGTAAATTATTTTATTTTATTGGCCATATTTGATTACAATGTCTATGGTGGTGGTTACAGCCCTATGTACTATAAACTGATTAAAGTAGAGTGATACATTTATAGAAAAACATACACTTATTTAATTTTTAATTAAATATTTGATTTCCACCTATAAATTAACCGACATAACTGTAACACGCCAAAGTTTGAGTTTCTGCTTGTGTGTATACACATTAGTGAAACTTTACAAGTAATCTTGGTCAAACCAATCATCGAGAACTTTATTTTCGTTTCCTTCACCTGAGGTAAATTCTTGAGAACTAGCGTTGTTAAAAGCAGTTAAACAATAAAGTGAAAAAAAAAAAAAAACGTCAAGGCTTACAGACAAGAACTGAGAGTCAAGATGACAAAACACAGCACAAGTTCCTTCAATGTAAGCATATACAGATAGGAAGCACAAATAAAGCATTACATTAGTCACTTGACAGTTCTTGAAAATGTAAATGTTCAATCTTGCATTCAGACGTACAATAAAATCATAATCAATTGGAAGTTAGCATTTCTGCTAATATAGGAAGCTAAAACTGCATAGTAAGTGAAATAATCTATCATGTATGTTTTGTTGACAGAGAGGAAGATTGAGAAAAAGATAAAGAGAGATTTGTGGTTTTTAATGATACCCGCTAAAGATTAGCATCAGTTCAGGCTTGCTAGCAGGTAAAGTTGGTTCTCGGCTATAGCATAGAGAGGAGGGACTGGTTTGTCACTGGAGGGAGGATGTTCCAGTAAGGCACAGTAGAAAAAAAGTACAGCGAGAATGAAGACAGAAATTCCTCTGGTGTCACAATGCCTTTGGCCCTCCCTTCCTATGAAAACAACTCTCCTATTTCCCTGAATCCTCTCTGACTCACCAAGCATCACACACTCGAGTTTTGTGTATGTGCTAAAAGACATGTTACCACACACATAAAATTTGATGGATTTTTCTTTGTGCCCAGATCAATCACTACAAATCTAACTTAGAAACAGTGATGGATAAAACACAATCACATCCTCTTTAGGCATGCCCTGAAACAGGAAATTGTATAAGAAAGGACGTCAAATTACATGAGAAGAGAAGTTTTAGTGCAATAGTACCTTTCTCATTATACAATTCCAATGAACCTGCAATAACTGACCAATAAACCACCAATAAAGGTTTAAAGAGGAAATGTAAGTGCTTGGAAGAGCATGAGGGGAGAAAAGGAGGGATGAGAGGGACAGAGAAAGGGAAAGGAGGAGCCGGAAATGATCGAGCAAAGGGAGCGATGAAGGGAAGAGATAGATCAGAGAGGGAAAATCCCTTTCCTCTCCCCTGCAGTGAGTTCTTAGACTCACATTCCTGTGTGTAAAAACAGAAAAAAAGAAATAAAAAAGGGGAATGTTGGACGAATAAGGAAAGTGATTGAAGGGAAGACTCATGACACATGCATGAGCCAAAAACCCACTCTAGCGAACTGAAACTAAATCTTGCATAATGTAGCATTGATGACTGGGCTGAAACAAGAACACAAGGACAAGAAAAGAAAGGATAAATAAACAGTGCACTCAATCCATGCAACAAAGATATGAATGCTGTTTTATACATTCATGTCACACTTTTGAAATGAAACCCATTTTAATTTCATAATGCGATGTATGTGAAGCAGGATATTTAATGCAAAATAAATATTGCATGGCAAAATAGAGCCAGATCTAAATAACTGAAAAATCCAGGATAAACCAGCATAACATGTTTTGGCAGTCTTATGTGGTTTAAGCTGGTCTCCCAGCCTGACCAAATTTGTGGTCAGCTGGTTTTAGACTGGTTGGCCATCTGGTCCCCCAGCATGACCATCTGAAAAGTGCCCAAAATCCCTCTAAAACCAGTCAACAGAGCAGTGTGACCAGTCAACAGAGCAGTGTGACCAAGCTGAGCAAGGTAGCTATTTGGCTGTTGTTTAACGTGCCCCTATTATGCTATTTTAAAGGCTCCTAATTTACTACAACAGGTTTACATGCATCAAAGGTAAAAAAAAAAAAAAAAAGTGAAATTTTCTCATAATATACATTTCACATCACCACATTTTTCGATGATTCTTAAACGACTCGATTGATGAATCAGCCTCTCTAGATCCCTCCATTCCAGTTTCCGCGAGCCTACTCTGCTCTGATTGGCCAGATGGCCCAGTCATTAGATGGTTGCAACTGTAATTCCTCACCATTATCATTAACAAGTGTATGTTCATCAACAAACCGATGTGTATATTTCAAATTTATTGTGGTGCACATGCGGGAACTGAATCAATAACAACGCATACATTAGCCAAGCACTAACGTAAAGGACTGATGTAACATTGTAAAACAAATCTTGCTCAATCCTTCATCTTTACTCAAAGTAGTAAGAACGACAGATAATCTGCATTAATAGACACAATTTTAGGTAATAGTGGCCCACAGCTGATTAGCAGAACCATTTCAGTAAGACAGTGATAACGTGATTTAGCCGTTAGCCGGAAACTTACACAATACTACATATTTTGAACAAGGTAGAAAATATAGCCTATACACCAATGATTATTTATATTTACAGGTTGTGATTCTGAGGAACAAGCTGGTCCAAATAAACTGAGAACTGATCTTTCAAGAGCAAGCGTTTTGCGAATCACGTGTTGAACTCCCGCGAGATTTAAGAAACAGTCGTCAGTAGACAACGTGCATAGGGGGCATTATGCAAATGTATCTTCTAGTGACGTAGAACCGCAAAGCAGTAGGTTTCGAATGAAAAACAACTCGTTTCAGAGTTCGAATGAAAAACAACTCGTTTGAACTCGGTTCAGAGTCGTTTTTTTCTTTTGGGAGACAATAACTTTATTTATCGTGCACTTTCAACTTTACAACTTTGCAAAACGTTTACATTCACAAACAGCTATATTACACACTGCATGAAAGGGGATATTCGAAAACCATAATAGGGGCATTTTAACATTAACATTAAATGACACAAGTTGACAGGAGGAAAATAGAAGGTATTTTTTTCTTTTGAAGTAACATGCACCAATGAATCATTCACAATAAGACCAGGAACATGCATTAAGGAAGTCAACAGGCACTATGTTATGATATGCTTTATGCTCGGAATTAATGCTAATATAGCTATGCATAGTTAACTTATGGGTTAGTCTTTCTGTGAAGATATCAACGGGTCTCTTACTCGTAGTAAAAGCAGACCGGAATGTTTTATAATTCAGGGTAAAAAAAAGATAAAAAGATAACCATGTTACAAGAGTGCAGAAGAGTGCAGAAGAGAGAGAGAGAGAGAGAGAGAGAGAGAGAGAGAGAGAGAGAGAGAGAGAGAGAGAGAGAGAGAGAGAGAGAGAGAGAGACAGAGGGAAAGTCCCTTTTAATACCCTTCAAACCTCAACACAAGGTATGTTGAGAAACAACCCAGGGTGTGAGGGGGGGTCATGTGACTTCTCGGAATGAGGATACTTAAGTTCAGATGCATACAGCAGCCGCTTTAACTGTGTTTGCACATACACTCATACTAGTATAAAAACATACATACTCCAGTAAACTGAATTAACAGACAGGCCATGCAAACAACTCATCAGCTGCTGTCTTGCTTGACTGATAATGAGCAAAACACATTTGTCATGTGCACATACACACACACACACTGCATGCTTCTTCTCATGTGCATTTAAAATGTCAGTGTCAGTCATGACAGACATGTGGGAGGACAAGATTTACAAAAGTGTGGAGCTGAACCAGAGACATAGCGATACAAGTCATTCTACCGTGTACTATGCACTTCTAGTGGTAGTAATAATGATAGCTGTAGTAACACTTTCCTCTGTATCGTACCAGTCAGCTGTGTGTCTACCTGTCATTATAATATCACATTAATCATTGTATTCCCTCACTAATCTTGGATTTGGAAACACCAAAACAGTAATTCAAATGCTGCAATAAAAGTTAATCAAAACTCCATCTAATCTTCAAAGACATGCTAATGTGCAGTTCACATTTCTGGGGAAATAAGAATTGAACACAGGATATAACACAAATGTTAACCTCAACAATCTGACAGAAACAAGTTTCAGGCCGCGGCTAAGACATACACGCAGCTTCTGGTAACTGCCGAGTGCCTGTGAATATACAAGCATTCGTGTTTGTGTGTGTGAAAGAGTGCGTCTGTACGTCAAGTGAAACCTAAACGTGAATTTGAGGTAATTTTTGATGCCTGGTTAGACATGCAATGGCGGTAATTGATAATGTGGTTGAGTGTCAGTGGTGGAAGTAAGGGTTAACACAACCAGGAGTTGCAAAAAGGAGAAGAGTAGGATGTGAAAGCCTGGGAACAGTCTGACAGGTCTGTGCGCTCACAATGCTGCTGACACATGGGAGCAAGATGAAGCGAAGCACACAGTGTGTTGTGGTGGCCATGTGGTGAGCACACAAGTGGGCAGGCCAGTGACTACTAAAGGTGCTCAAATAACCGCAAACAGTACGGTGGCACTGCCTGAGAACAACAGTGCCCTAGGAGTAATTTCCTCTTCTGTTTAAACCTAAGCTAAATGTATCATGTAACAGTTAAGAACACTATTGTGGAAATTTACAGTAAACCATCATATGCCCCACAGGGACAAGAACTCAGGTTTAACTAGCCCGGTGTTGTTTGTTAAATCCTCTTAATCCAACAGTCACTAACATTAATTCCCTTCTTTTCCTTTACACCCTGCTGCAAAGGCCAATGTAGGTAATAACACTTTACAATAAGGTTCAATTCATTAACTTTAGTTAATGCATTAAATATCATGAACTAACAATACACATTACCTCCAGTATTTCTGCTATAATTAATGACAAAGCTGCTTGTTTTATTATAGAAACTGGAAAACAAACAAAACCAATTGTTAAAAATAAAAGTTTTTTTTTAAAAAATATATGATTTCTTGATTTTTTAAGTGTTTTAATTAAGCATTAAATACTTTTTTAATATTAAATATTTCAATGATTTAAATGTATTCATAATTATGTTAATAATAGTATTAATAATAATATAATAATTTGAATAGTTTAAAGGGAAGGTTGTCACTAAATTCTTATTTTGTATCTCACAATTGACCCTTCGCAGGGAGTTTGATTGACAGGCGATCTGACCAATCATAATCCGCCATCTGCCGAATCCGCCATTTTTGACGGACAAAGCAGTCAGGAGAGTTAGTAGATTAACGTTGGAGGATTTGAACTTGAAAAACGGAGTGTACTGATATCTTTCCATGGTTAAAACAACATTCCTTCGTATGTTCTTTCATGTTTATTTGATGCTATGAATTAACTAGAAGGAAGAGATGATCGGTTCACGAGCAGCTTTAAGAGGCTCTATCAGACACATTAAAGAGACACAAAATGGTATTTATTGTTTAAATTTCTTTTAAAAAATGACCAAATTTGAAAGTTGAGACTTGTTTCATATCAAAAGTAACCTGGTCTGTCAGCGCCTTTTCAGTGTCCTCTTTACTCCACAATGTATTTTTCACTGTGTGAGAACATGGTGTGTGGCGTGAGAGCGGCGTCGCTTGTCGGACATAGCAACAGTAACTAAAGGGGGCGGGTCTTTGCGATCGGTCAATTGCGACTTTATATCACACAATTCTGAGATTTACGAGAATTCTGAGAATTGCGAGATTTAAACTTGCAATTGCGAGAATTTTTTTTTTATTCCATGGCAGAAACAAGCTGCCATACATATCAAGTTGTTTCATACCTGTATGAATTTCTTTCTGCTGCTGAACACAAAATAAGATATTTTGAAGAATATGGGTAACCAAAAAGTTGATGACTTCCATATTAACTTCCCATTGACTGAAGAAAATACTATATAAATCAACTGTTTGGTTACCAATATTCTTCAAAATATCTTCTTTTTTGTTCAGCAGATGAAAGAAATTCATACAGGTTTGAACAACATAAGAGGGAGTAATTGATGACAGATTTGGGTGAACTATCCCTTTAACAAATAAAACCTTATTGTAAAATGCTACATTTTTTTGCTGTGTTTGTATACACCTTACCTGTCGTAGGTTATTGAAAATGTCCAGGTCTTTGTGGGCCCGTCGAAATATTTCAATAAGCCAACTGACCAGTTGGATGTTCTCCTTGACCACAGCAATGTGAAGAGGTCTGCAAATAGACAGATGCATTAATTACCTAAACACAGAAATAACAGCAAAAGCAGCATGCATAGTCCTGTAAATTCATTAGCATTTAACCACACAAACAAAACTAGTACCATCAAAATGTATAGTGATGCATTTCTTGTAACAATACAGAGTTGACTGTCTTGTTTAACGGCCCGCACAAGTCAGTCAACGAGTTCAAAAAGTTGACTGAATGACACTTCACCTGGTGGACTAAAGGTTTGTAAAAACAATCATGTGTATGACTCATATTGTACACAGTGGCTTTTAATGCAACCAGTGTTGGTGAGTACAGGGAAATGCTTATCTCCCTATCATTTCACAGAAAGCCTCTCTGAGGTGAGAGTGTAGAAGTCAAAGTTTGGGAAGAGGAAGAAAACAGTGTGTGAGAAAGAGAAAGGGACTCTTCATGAAATCTTTTAAATGATTTTTTTTTTTCTTTTCTAAATCTGCTTCCAGTAACAGCTACTTTGGTTTGAAGTCACTTCCTGCCCTCAGGGACAATGGCACCGTTCTTTCTGTTTTGAATACTAATTATCATTATATTTACTGTTGCATTAGGGGCTTTCTGTGCTTTTCAGACTCCTCTAGCAGAACTTCCCATGAAACCCTGAGAAATGTACAAAGAAGAACCTTGCACTGACTTGAAACACAAGCATGATACATATTCACAACTTATCTGAAGAGTAAAACATGCACCATTGTATACCAATTGATCACTATAAAATGCAAAACAATATTAAAACAGTGGAATCAATACTATGTGCAAAGTGCATCAACATATATGGCCATAGAATATTGCATATTATAAAACAAATATCTGAAGCATTGCAAACATACAGAAGTCAACAAGATAAAAGATATTATAATTTTAAAACGCTTTTTTAGCATGACTAAAACTTAGGGTTCTTATCAATGTAGAATGTTATTTTCTTGCATTATGAACTATAAAACAGTTCTTGTGGCAAGAATGTTAATAGGCCCTGATGGGAAGTCATACTGCAACAACTGGAAAAATGAGAGAGGGATAGAAAAAAGGGAACAGTGAAGAACAGGGGCTCTCATTGTTTATATTGTCTTTTGACTTGTATATTGAGTCACTGTGGGATGAAACAAGCCGGAACACAGACCGTGGGGAAACCAATGATTTGAATTATGGAGCTGATTCATATTCCTAGTGATAAATGTAAATATTGTCCTATAATTGGCTATTGCAATTGTCTCATGTGGGTTATTCCATTGTGGCAAGAGTTTGGAAATAAAACAGAGAGAAGGAAATCAAGTACTACACATTTAACCACAAGTGTATAAGAACATGTATAAGAACAGGTGATATATAACATAAGATCGAAGAAGATTTTCTGTTTGGATCAACAGTCACCATACAATCAAATTCCTGCATGAAGCATCAAACCAAAAGAGGAAGAGAAGAGCGATCTAGTCAAAATGAATACAAGCTGGCCTGACCCAGGCTATGACTTGCCTGAACTGCCTGTTCCTTGCTTTTGATAAGAAAGCAGAAGAGATTATTAGTAGCTTAATTCTTTCTTTATTTGCCTCCTTTCCTGTAAGTGAGGTCAACGTCAGCGTACTTCAGGAAATCTCATGCTTTTTCAGTTCTGCCATCAGGGCCATGTGTTCAGCCCTTGTGACAAGAGCTTTGGATCAAGGAGTCTTTATCAGGTTTATCAGAATTGTATGTTTACACAGAACGAGTAAAACTGGCCTGTGTCATGTTGCAAAGGCATATGGGCCAGACGTATTTTTTCTCTATGCATCAAAACTGCAAGTAGAGCAGCACGAAATTAACAAATCTCTGCCTATTGCATTTGCAGTAAGCGCTAGTACAATAATACATACATGGGTCTTCAAAGTCGTCATGGAATGGAAATTACAATCGCTTTCTCTATTGGGACTTATATTTGTGTAAAAAGGCTTCTCAAACAAGACAAACTGTAGGGCAGGACTTGATTTTGTCAACCAGGAATTGATTGGTTTATTGTTGTTTGCTAATTTCTGCGATCTAATCTGAGTGACAGGTTACTGGAGGGGAACTGCACACATCACCAGAGAAGAGATTAAAGTCAGCATGAAATGGAAGTTGTGATAGTCTTTTCTTCCCTACTGTGATGTATATCAGAGTGAAACTGCTTCCCGAACAAGAAAAAATGTTGACAAAATGACTTGATTTTGTCCTTTGGGAATTGATTGGATCGTTGGATGGTTGTTGTTTACTATTGCTGTGATCTCATGTGAGTGACAGGTTGTCCCGCCCCTCAATGCCAATAAACACATCATAAGAGAAGATATGAGAAATCACTGCAAGTTTTTGATGAATTTGACAAAAAATAACGATGTGCACGGATAAATTATTTAGAATAAGCACGGCAATATTACATAAAAAAAATAAGGATTGAATATTTTAACATGCAATGTAAACAAAAGTGAGTAAATACATTAAAATTGTATATTACTGTTATTACAGGTCAGGCTTAATTACAATACAATTTTATACAACATTTAAAAGATAGTCCCTCCTCCATCTGTATTCACCAAGGGGTACTTGGGATGAAAACGGTTGAAGACCCCTGATTGTCACGATTATTCTTAGTTTCACCATCACGGACTTTTCGTTTGTTTTCACCAATTTCCTGTCTTCCTTTGTTCAGTTTTCCCAGTCCCACCACTCTTTAGTTGTTATGGTAACAGATATGATTAGTTTTCAGTTCAGCTGTGTGTCATTAATTACCCTCGGTTGCCTTGCTATTTAAGTTGCTGTGTTTGTTCACCCATTGTCTGGTCATGTTTCCGTATAGCGGTTGGTTTTGTTTGCTTGCCTTGTTTTGTATTACCTTCTGAGTGGATTAAAGACGTTATACCTGATCTTCATCTTCATTGTGTGTTCCTTGCAACTGCTGGTAACACTGATATAGTAGAATTTTACGAAGTGGCTAATTCGTACGAATTCATACCAGGGGGGTGGTGATGGCGCAGTGGATAAGACACATGCCTTTGGTGTGAGAGACCCGGGTTCAAATCCACTGTGAGACACCAATGTGTCCCTGAGCAAGACACTTAACCCCTAGTTGCTCCAGAGGCGTGCGACCTCTGACATATATAGCAATTGTAAGTCGCTTTGGATAAAAGCGTCAGCTAAAATGAAAATGAATAAATGTCATACGTCCTCACTTGTACGAATTCGTAAGATTTTTGCTAAATTGTACATATTTTATGAATTGCCCAATTCGTATGAATTCGTACGAATGACCTACCCCTGACCTCGCCCCTTAACCTACCCATCACTGGGGTTTAGACAAATCGTATGAATTCGTACAAGTGAGGTCGTACGAATTCGTACGAATTAGCCACCTTTTACTTACTTGTACGAATTTGTACAAATTGATCGTGAGATACAGAATACATACAGAAAAAAACAACAAAAAAGCAGGTAGCCTTTCGTTAAATCTGTCTGCAAAAAGATACTTTATATTTTAGATCACTTTGTGGCTGACAAAGAAAAGCCAACTTTGTGTTTTGGATAGAAATAATGTACATAAAGATATTTAATGTACATACTGATGTTAACTAATTGGCCATTTATCTTATGTTCTTGTCACATTTGATGGCCAATTAGTTTTACATTAGTATGTACAATAAATACCTTTATGTACATTATTTTTATCCAAAACACAAAGTTGGCCCTTTTTTTGGTCACAATTCTGTCTGTGTGATGATCACTGGCTTTGCTGTCACTTATACTGCAGGTCAGAATTTAGTTTCTCTCTCTCTTTCTTTTCGACAGATGAAACTCTCTGGGTTCCTGGAAGTGACTGAGAGTTAGTTAGACCGCAGCCACAGATAAGGCCCAGGCTGAGACTGACGTAGGAACCTGAACATCATCAGAAGTAGATGAAGGGCTTATGGCGGGGCAGTGGCGCATGTGTGGCATCCTGTACAGCCCAGAAACACAAACCTCTAACATCCCCTATAGCACACAGACCTGCTGCTGCTGTAGCAAACAAACTCAGAGGCTGAGACAAGACATAAACAGCCTGAGCCAAACACATGCAACCACTCTTATTTAAAAAAAACTTGAATGGGTATAGAGGAGACTATAAAATTCCTACAAGCAAGGTGAGTGAAACCCTGTGTCAAGGCTCTATATTTCTCTGCATAGCCACGAGAGCTGAAAACAGCTTTCACATCACATACAACCTAAAAATCTACATGAATACATTTGACAGACACTTTTAACCAAAGTGCATTGAATACATTCCCTGAGAATCGAATTCAAGAAAACTTTGGCATTACTAAGACTATACATTACCGTTTGTGAAACAGAAATACGTGTCGTTCCAAGTCTGTCCCTTTGTTTCTTTTGTGAAACACAAATGAAGATATTTTGAAAATTGTTTTTGTCCATATATGAAAGTCAATGGGGTCCAAAAAATGTACATTGGACCCCATTGACCTTCATTGTAGGGACATTTTTCAAAATATCCTCTTTTGTGTTCCACAGAATAAAGAAAGTCATACAGGTTTGAAACTACATGAGGGTGAATAAATGATGACAGAATTTTTAAAGCATGCATGACCTGTCATGTAATCTTATGGTGCTTCATACAAATGCGTAGACTACAAGAGAGGAGGAAGGAGGAGAAAGTGGGTATAAAGAATTGAAATGGCACAGGGATGTAAGCTTACAGTACAGAGCGGGGGGGGGGGGGGGGGGGGGCGGGGGGGGGGGGGGGGGGAGAAGAGAGTGATAAGCAACAGAGAAAAAGCGGTAAAGGAGGAAGTGAAGAGCGGATGTTTGGGTTTTTGAGCCCATTCATTTTAAACGCACAAAGCAGTGAAAAAAAAGATGAAAGAGAGAGAGAGAGAGAGAAAAAGACACCTGAAAAAAAACCCGCAGTCACACAACAGGCTCGCACTCACATCAGGCTTTCCCGAAAATGAGGGTCTGTGAAGTGCTGAGAAGAA